AGCCAGCGCCCCGATCGCCATAAATGTTATGGCGCCCGCCGTGTACCCGATACACTTGCCCATGTTGGGGTAACTCGAGTGTTCAGGGTAAATATTAGGAGTCCAGGTAACTCGTGAATTCAGGGTAAATATTAGGAGTCAGGATAACTTGCGTCTTCAGCGTAAATCTTAGGTGTCAGGGTAAGTTAAGTGCTCCGAAGGAACTCTTTCGGTTTGAGATAACTTTAAGGCTTCAGGGTAACTTACAACACTTTAAATTACCTTTTTTAATGATTGATATATAACTCAAAACTTGATTATAACGGTATATCACTTCATAATACCTATTGATGACCAAAACAACTTCCGAGTTTCAGCGTTACTTTTTCACTTCAAGTGTTTTCTGTCTTCAAAAAGCTACTACTAAGAAATCTGGAATAAAAACGAATTTTTCTATTTTTAGATGAGATTATAAGTTTGCATTTTTTAAGTTCCTGGAAAATATGAAAAAATTATGGGGGGACGGTAACTATATTAGCTTGTAAGATTATTTAATTAAACAATACACGCATTCAGACCACACAAACACATGCTGCATGCAGCGGCGCTCACACAGCGTGTACACACACAACGTGTATTCACCCAAACAAAAGCTGCCTCCAGTGTATACTTCTCGCCAGGCCGCAGCAATCAAAGCAACCGGCGCACAAAATTCTGAGTATTTTACTTGTGTTGTAACAGCGTGGTGTAACAGCGCGTTGTAGCAGCGTGTTGTAGCAGCGTGTTGTAGCAGCGTGTTGTAGCAGCGTGTTGTAGCAGCGTGTTGTAGCAGCGTGTTGTAGCAGCGTGTTGTAACAGCGTGTTGTAGCAGCGTGTTGTAACAGCGTGTTGTAACAGCGTGTTGCAGCAGTTGTAACAGCGTGCTATAGTAGCGTGTTGTAGCAGCGTGTTGTAGCAGCGTGTTGTAACAGCGTGTTGTAGCAGCGTGTTGCGAATAATTATTAGGAATTGCTCAATTTTTATGAGATGTACGTCACGTAATTTCGAGGAATTGCAATGCTTATTTTTACTGAAGTCAACACGCGCTGTGTGAGAGTGAGTGGATAACGCTGTGTGTTGCGACTCTGTGTTGATAAACACATCCTGTGTGGAAGATTCCTACAAGAGAAGCCACGCAAGATAACAAGCTTGCTGATAAACGTCGCGATAACAACGGGGGTAACAATGGAGAAGAAAATAATCTTAAAAATGGTGATAATTATGATGATAAATACGGCTATAATAAAACTGATAACAATGGGGATAACAATGGAGAAGACAATGATGACTACAATAGAGATAGCAGTATGATAACAATATGATAACAATATGATAACAATAGTGAAAACCGAGGTGATATTGTCGTAAATAACAACAAATACAAATAGAGTGATTACAATAGAGATGGAAACGTTGATAGAAATGATAATAAGGACGGTGATAATAAAGTAGATAAAGAAAAAGAAAAATATAGTGTCAAGAAACCCTCTAGGAGAGAGCTACGAAAGAAAAAGTGCAGGTAGAGCTACTGAAGAGAAAGTGCTGGTAGAGCTACTAAAGAGAAAGTGCTGGTAGAGCTACTAAAGAAAAAGTGCTGGTAGAGCTACTCAAGAAAAAGTGCTGGTAGAGCTACTAAAGAAAAAGTGCTGGTAGAGCTACTAAAGAAAAAGTGCTGGTAGAGCTACCAGACATGAAGGTTAACACTAGTCATAATCACCTCCAAACATCAAGGCTAACACAAAAATCATATTGTTCATTCTGAGTCTGGCCCCATATAACGCACAGTCTGGTAACGTCTTCCTTCAAGGCTGAACAATTTCCTATTTCCGCAGGCAACGAGCAACTGAACTTTCCGTTTTTTTCCATTAAGTTTGCTGGTGCATTGCGACCATCGCAGGACTTACGACCATCGCAGGACTTACGATCATCGTAAGACTTACGACCACCGCAGGACTTACGACCACCGCAACACTTACGACCACCGCAACACTTACGACCATCGTAGGACTTACGACCAGCGCAACACTTACGACCATCGTAGGACTTACGACCACCGCAGGACTTACGACATCGCAGGACTTACGACCACCGCAGGACTTACGACATCGCAGGACTTACGACCACCGCAGGACTTACGACCATCGCAGGACTTACGACCATCGTAGGACTTATCACTTACGACCACCGCAACACTTACGACCATCGCAGGACTTACGACCATCGTAGGACTTACGACCACCACAGGAATGCTCGCGTACACAGGTCGAGGTCGCGCTCATGGTTTGCAAGCAGCGAGTATCGACCAGACGATGGCGGCCATACAATAAGTCAATACGACATGTAATTATTCTAATGAGAACATAGCAACTATATAAAAAGGTAATTCATATTAGAAAAAATTAATTGAACAAATAAATGCTAATTAAGGAATCAGGCTGCGGGGTCGTTTGTTCTGATCGAATGTTTAGCAGAGAAGCTTTACGTACGTCGCATTAAAAAGAGAAAAAAATGACTATAATAATTATAAGAAAGCGAGGGCGGCAACAATAAATATTTCCCCTTAATGCCCTTGGTGCCCTTGATGTGTGCACGTGCCCTTGATGATCGCAGCACGTGACGTGCATAAAATGTGTACTCTCACTCTGACGGCCTTCATTTTGTCGGAAACTAGACTTCAGTGAATCATGTTATACAAAGGCGTTCCGCGGCCTTCTGAAGGTTTTCCGCTGTCTTCTGAAGGCATTCTGCTGTCTTCTGAAGGTTTTCCGCTGTCTTCTGGAGGTGTTTTGCTACCTTCTGAAGGCATTAATTGTCCTGCCTTCCGATGGCGTTTTGCTACCTTCTGAAGGCGTTCTGCTGTCTTGTGAAGGCGTTTTACTGCCTTCTGAAGGCATTCTGCTGTCCTAGTTTACAGAAAAACGACCCGCTTGAATGTTCCAGTTTATAGAATCTATTTACGAAACGTATTTACAGTTTAAAAAATAATTTCAATGTCGTTTAATTGCGTGTAAATATATTGGTACATGTGAAAAATTGAAATATTAATAGAGACAAGATAATATTGCTCTAGTGAAAAAAGAATAGTTATTGTTAAGTTAAATGGTGTATATCAATGGCAGATCTAGGAAGATCGTGCATTTAAATTTATTTTTACTTAGAATAAAAATATAAATAAAAAATATTACAAATTATTTTGTATAATCCAATGTTGCAAAAGGATGCCAAAGCAACTTAAATATTACTGTTAAGTCTTTATTTAATTTTATAAATAGTATACATTGTACTGAATGCAGCGTGGCGACTCAAGTGTCGTGTTCAGGGAATCGAGCCTGATTCCATGTACGTTTAAAACTTGTTTAAATAAACATAGCGCGGAAGTTACTTGAAAAATATTTTTTAAGTATAAATCGTTGACAATTACGATAAAATCAACAGGTCAAATATTTATCATAAAATGGCATCTATGAATTAATTAATATCCTTTAGAAAGTGTTACCAGTAATGCCATTAAATGGATTTTAATGATATAATTATCACAAGTGATAATATAGACATGAGCATGCATAGAACTGACATTAAAAACAAATAATTTTTAATAGTGTTCAGCCTGTGTGTAAAATTATTTTCTCCGTTCATGATTCATCAGATCTCAAGTTCACAACTATGCACATCGATCTTACGTTTAACAACTTCTACCCCAGTGTTTCTTTGTTCGGTCTTCAACCTCACTGCTATAATTCATACATCAGTAAAATGTTAAAATATTAAACTATCATTTTGTTCCAGGAAATACACGAGTCACGCTCTGACCAACGTTCCTCACACCACCAACGCTTGACTCTCACTGACGCGCGTTTTGACGCCTCACCTCTATTTATAGGAACGCGCGGCCGCAGCTGCTGCAGGGTGACAGCTTGCGTCGCAGGTGCGGACAGAAACATGAAAGCTATTCTAGTTTATTATTTAGATAATATAACACATTTCAACGAATAATTACATTTCCTGAAGTTCATTCAAAAAGATATGACTTTATTCATGACAAGCGAATAGCAGCAATAGTTACCACTTGCATAAAAAAAAATGAGGCAGTGAGCTAATTTCGAGGCGACGTGGTAATTTATTTTCCCACTTTACGTTAGCCTTTGATAATAATTCCCTCGCTCAGCGACCACGCTGTCGCACGCATGACTTAACTAGAAGCATGGAGCTAGCGTAACTAGAAGCATGGAGCTAGCGTAACTAGAAGCATGGAGCTGGAGTAACTAGAAGCATGGAGCTAGCGTACCTAGAAGCATGGAGCTAGTTGAAGAGATTTCAACGAAATTTTGTATGTAAATACCTTACTTCCCAACGGTGATGTTTAGCTCGTGACAATTTTTATTATTTGCTTTCGTTATCGAATAATACAGTTATAGGAGAAACGACCGGCTTTTCTACCGGCCGGTTTAACCAAGAGCCGTTTACGAATATAGCCGTATACGTATAGCCATATAACTCGCAAACGGAGACAAAATCGAAAAAAATTGCAACAAGCTAAATATCATCGTTGTTGAGGTTAGGTTTTGAAATACTAAGTTTCGTTCAAATCTGTTCAGTAGTTTGGAAGAAATTTCTTGATTACTGCGAATTTAAGCACGTATTGCCGTTTAAATCACGAATGTAGGTGAAATTGAAAAAAAAAACTCGCGAACGAAGGCAAAATCGAAAAAATTTTTCAGTAGCTAAACATTACTGTTCGGTAGTTAGGACTGTAAATTTAAAATTTCGTTCGAATCTGTTCAGTAGTTTGGAAGAAACTCCTTGATCGCTGGGAATTTCGGCTCGTAACGCTATAGAACTCACAAATGAACGCAAAATTAAAAATAATTACACGTGCCACACATTACCATTAGGTCCTAATGAATACGTGTACCAAGTTTCATCGAGTTACGTTCATTATAGTTTGAGAGATATATTCCTTGATCGTTCGTTGATTTTGGAAATTGGCCATGAGTCCGGCCGTTAATTTGTCCGAGACGTAAACCCAGGGGAGGTTAAAAAAACAGATCTGAGTGAAAAAAAACCATCGCTGGGAGTCCTGTGCTGCACGTGTTGTGTATAAATCGTCAAACAAACGCTCAAACTTCTGACTTCGACTTCGGACTGCCGCCCCCCTATGGCCTTCTTCTTCCATACCGTCCCCCAAAATCTTTCCACCGCCACTAGGGGGGGGGGGCGATATCGCCCACTTTGGGAACCACTGGCATAATTGCTTAAATATCATTAGTATACTTCACTATAAAACCATTTAAATGTCGGGCGAAGTTGCGGAATTGCCGAATCTGTAGAATCAGCGTTTCTATACTATAAGAATCTGGAGTTAGGTCAGTGAGCAAAGTTTTTTAATATTCATATAAAAAGGAATTTGACCGAACTTGACCTAACCTTTTCTAACTCTAACTGTCGATTTATGTTCTAATTCCTACCCTTACGTCCGATTTTCTGCATCAGCGACGAAACGTTTATTCTACATATTCGGCAACTGTCTGCCGATTTCATAGAATTGACAATTTCGGCACGACATATATATTTTTTATTTGCCCGGTCTACGACAGCGCCGGATGCTTGACACACTAGTGGAAGTGAGTCACCAAGACTATGTGGGTACTCACTGCCTCATTTCCGTTCATTTTACTCATCGTTGTTCGTGTACAAAAGCAGGTGAGCAAGAAGCCTGGACAATTTATTTAATCATGATAGAAACTGGTCTTGAATTATATATTTAAATATTACAATATCAATAACGGAAACCTAATAATAGGTATTTTAACACTGTAGAATCATTCATTGAAAATTCGTAATATACATAATAAAATATTAAAATGTAACACCCGAATTTGCATAGATTATATTTATTTAACAGAGTGCGGGGAGTGATAGGACGGAGCTACAGCGTGGCCTGGGGCTGCAACGTCCGAAACACAGACGACCAAGTATATAGAGAATAACTATGATAGTAAAGATAGCAAAGATACCAAGGATTGCTAGGATATCAAGAATGCCAAGGATACGAGGCTACAAAGGATAATATCAACACGCGCAGGCAACAGACGCAACAAAAAAGTACTACTAAAACAATAGGAAAATGTGTTATCAGACGAATCAAGTATCAGAAGGCTCATATTTAGTGTAAATAAAGTGTTCAGTTATAATAGATAATGTATTCATGTTAATGAGTTCAACGGATCTTCGTTAAACACGCTCTATGTCTCGAATATAAATATCGTCTTCAGACTAAATATTTTCGGTCACTGTACAAACAATTAGAATATATGTAAGTTTTATTTAAAAAATGTCAACACATAATATATTTTTACTAATATTATCATCAATAAATACTGTAATTATTATCTGATTTATATATTTAAATACGCGATATTGAGTACGTAACCTACACTGAGAAAAATGGATGGATCATTTTGTCCATATACAGTACATACTTGCTGCGTGTAGCAATGAATCGTTCTTTTTCCGAGGCAAATTTGGTCAAGGTGACCTATATAAGGGCAAAGTCTCAATAATTTCTTTCAGTGTAGAATATTTAATATTTGAATATTCTACTGTTCGTTCAATCAGTACCGTAATCGTGAAGCTATATGCCTATAATCTGAATTAACACTCACCGAGTCGCCAGTGATGCATGAGTAGCCAATGTTTTTCCACTGCAATAAACTCGCCCACATCTCATACAAAAAAATAGGCGATATTTTATTTTGTTCGAAAAATCATGTTTATTGTTCGTATAATGATTATTTATGAGTAAATCCTGGTGGGTTGTTACTCTCGTACCAGTTAGCATGAATAAGTCACGAAATTCATAGTTACAACTGGTGAACTGGTGCTACTAATATTTCCAACGATAAAAACAATACAGGGTAAATTTGAGTGCTGTCATCTTCTGTATTTTTTTTTAATTGATAAATACTCAAATGGTAATCATACGCAGATATCCTAAATAAGAATTCCACATAAAATCTACATGCTCAAAGTCTCATGCTAAAAAATTGGGGCTATTTATTTCTCAAAATATTAACAGCCTGTATGAATTTAAATCTTAGCTGTGGTGGTGAACTATTCCTCAAACTTATTCAGTTTTAAATCAGTTACTCCAGTAACTCGTTTTCTACGAAAAAACTCGCGTATTGACCGACAGTTGCGGGAAGCTGGCATCGTCTGCACTCTGCAGTGTTGCGTCTGACACAAAACTGCCAGCAATGCCAGAAGCATCCGCCTAAATAATAAACTTCATAGAAAATAAGTGAATTGAAATATTAATTTTTCTTGATAGTTGAGCTGTTAATCAATTTCTTTGTGTAGATAAGCTACCTAGAATGTTCGCGTGATCGTGAAGGCAAGTTCATTTAATTTTCAGCAATCGGCTGCAGGCCCGCAAGTGGCAGAACTCGAGATAAATCAAAAGTTGCTATGGCAGCACTAACTCATCTGAGTGGCAAAGTTCATCATTAGCCAGCCCAGCTAAGTCAACACAGAAAACTACAACTAACTACACACACATCTAAATCAGGTGAGATTAGTACACAATGTCTGGGGTCCAACTAGGCTTTTTGTTAACTGTGCGCGTGCGGAGTTGTTTACACCTGCACTGCGACTGCAGTGATGTACTAAGTTAAAGTTACTTACGGATAGTTTCATTTAAATATAATATGTAGATTCATATTCTGATTGTCACCATATTGTGATAATGATTGATCTGTTGTCACTATACGATGAGAGGCGGTGAAACTTGAACTCATTCTAAATCCATCGCGCCTCGCGGGGGCCGAAAATTGTTCCTTACTTGGCTGCCTTAATGTAATTTCCACGTTTATGAGGTTTGCACAGCCTTTTATAGTAATAATAAAAGTATTTACAGCCTTGTCCTGGCCCTTGAATGGTAAAACTCGTCATTCCTTGTTGTATTGGCGTTGTAATATGAATTCAATGTTTATTATTCAAAAGAAGAGAGGTGCCAGCGCACGATGAGCTCTCCTGCTGTTTGTTTACATCCTTGACTGCCGCTGCGCCGACAGATGGCGTCTCGCTCACTGCTCGAGGATTTCATGAATCGATCATGTAAACAAAAAAAAACCTTATCAGGAGCTTATGGTCATGGAGGAGTTATTTCATAAATAGTTGATTAGAAAATCAATATTTTTAGGAGCTTAGGGAGTGAGTGATCTACTAATTCCTAGTATTGTATCAGAAGTTATCAGGGGCTTGTGGAATGTGGAGTAAGTAGGTAATTTATCAATATTCTGTAAAAATGTCAGATCTTATTAGGTGTGTAAATAGTCTGTGATAGATCATTAAGCTAAATTGTTGGTAATTGTTATCAGCCCTTCAAAGCGTATGAGAGTAGAAGAACTGAAGATTGTCTGGACGCTCTCGATGTTATTATATTATATATAATAATTTATAATTTCGCTCTCGGAAAAATTTGCATACATCCTGCCGAAGATTACTTTGAAGTGACTCGCTTGCCCCCGTCGTATTAAATAACGTACGAACGTGCCTCTCTCCTCATTAACGTGGCGACGTGTGTTCAGGCTCACTAACGTGCTCACGGTCTCCCACTACCGTACCTTACCCTCGTGCCTTCACATGCAGACTTCTGAATAACGTACATATGGGCCTCCAGCCCCCCTAAAACGTACACATGTGCGTTTCCAACTTCCAATAACGTGTCCGCGTGACCTTGGCCCCAAATAACGTACTATTGTGTCCCCAGCCCCCCCACCAACGTACCCACGTGTCCCCAGCCCCACACTAACGTGCCCACGTGTCCCCAGTCCCCCACTAACGTGCCCACGTGTCCCCAGTCCCCCACTAACGTGCCCACGTGTCCCCAGTCCCCCACTAACGTACGCACGTGTTCTCTGCCCCCCCCACTAACGTGCCCACGTGTTCTCAGCCCCCCACTAACGTGCCCACGTGTCCCCAGTCACTAACGTGCCAACGTGCCCACGTGCCCCCAGTCCCCCACTAACGTACGCACGTGTCCCCACCCCCTCACTAACGTGCCCACGTGCCCGCAGGATGGTCTCGTACGCCAAGTACAGCCTCGTGCCCACGGACGAGCCTGACAAGACAGCGTCAGCAGCCTTCCCGGAGTCAGCCAAAGCAGGTGGGGGGGAAAACCTCCCCTCGTCGGGGGGTGGGGGGATTTTGGGGAGCATTTTCAGTAACACCCATAAAGCCCCTTCTATGAACCGCTCTACCCTCCCCCCTCCCCCCAACTCCGCGTTCGATTACACCTCCGCGTTCAACTTCAAGTCCGCGTTCGACTACAACTCCGCTAACCCCGGCCAGTATCAGTCCGCCTTCGACTACGGCTACCGCAAGGACCCAGCGGCCGCCAACATGGCTGCCACCGGTAACAAGGGTGCGTTGGGTGACAGAAAAATGAAAAAACTGTCAATAAATACTGATGCTATCATCGGAAAAGTAAATGGGTTGTATTGTCCATTCGGAATGTGTCCATATTGACACATTCGGTACAAGTAGCACCGATACGTGATTATGATGGGCCGAAGTGAGTCAGGATGACCTATTATAGGACAAGAAAGATATCGCTATTTACAGAAAGTCTCACTCGTTTACTTGTTGCTTGGTACCCCCACCCCCGCGCCCCAATTAAATACGTACCGTATTTCACAAGTGTATCTTCAAAGAAAATTATTCTATGTAAATACGTGATATAAATTCGTTGAATGCATTTGTTCCCGCGTATACGTGATGAAAATTTCAATGTTCAGTTACAAATTCCTCCCTAATTTTTCCGTGTTGTCGATAATCGTGCATGCCTTCAAATCCTTTTGTCACGTCTCAACGCGCCCTGCCTTGTCTGAACACGTTGCAACATGTCCTAACATGTCTTTGCGTGTCATAACATGTGCTAACGTGTCCTAACATGTCTTACTTTGTCATAACATGTCTTAACATGTCCTAACATGTCTTGACGTGTCCTAACATGTCTTAATGTGTCATAACATGTCCTAACAAGTTCTAACGTGGTCCTCACATATCATAACGCGTTTCAACATGTCCTAACGTGTCATAATATATATAACGTGTCCCAGCTCGTTTCAACATGGTCCTCACATGTCTTAACGCGTTGCAACATGGTCCTCACACGTCCCAACGCATAACAACGTGTCCTAACATGTCCTAACACGTTTCAACGTGTCCTAACATGTCAAAACGCGTTACAACGTGTCCTCGCATGCCCTAACGCAAAACAACGTGTCCTAACATGTCCTAACGCGTTGATACGCGTCCTGACATGTCCTAACGCATTACAACGCGTCTTCACACGTCCCAACGTGTGCAGCGGTGCGTCGGTCAGTATGGCGGGAGACGTGCGACGCGACGCGCTGCCTCAGCGCCATCGTCACAGCGCTGAGCCTCGTCTTCATCGTCCTGACGTTCCCCTGCAGCCTGCCCTTCTGCCTCAAGCGCCTCGAGCAGTGGGAGCGCATCGTCGTCTTCAGGTAACTTCTTAGTACTTTTTGATTCTATTTTGTCCATAAAATAATAATATTTGTTATTTTGTCCATGTCCTATTAAATTGTATTATATTTTTGTAATCAATTGTATGTGCCTCGAGCTGTGGGAGCGCATCGTCGTCTTCAGGTAACTTCTTCTTACTTCTTTATTGTATTTTTGCCCTTGATTGACTTTTTTTATTTATAGCAGAGGGAGGTAACCTTTTTGTTGTATTTGAATAACTTTTTATTTATGGCAGAGGGAGGTAACTTTTTATTGTATTTTTGTCCTTAAAATATTAATATTTATTATTTGTCCATGCCCTATTAAAAATGATCAATTGTATTTTTGTCATTGATTTACTGTTTATTTATAGAAGAGGGAGGTAAGGTACCTTTTTTATTGTATTTTTGTCCTTGATTAACTTTTTATTAATAGAAGAGGGAGGTAACTTTTCTTTATTGTATTTATGTCCTTGATCAAAAATGATCTAAACGTTATGATGCATGATATTCGATATTAATTATATACCGTATGATTAATTGTAATCTCCCCTCAGACTGGGGAGGCTGCGGGGGGTGTTCGGCCCCGGGCTTGTGTTCGTGATCCCCTGGAGTGACCGGAGCAGCAGAGTGGACATGCGGACCAAGGCCTTCTCTGTCCCTCCCCAGCAGGTGGGTGTTGCTGGTGTTGCTGGTGTTGCTCCCCAGCAGGTGGGTGCTGCTGGTGTTGCTCCCCAGCAGGTGGGTGTTGCTGGTGTTGCTCCCCAGCAGGTGGGTGTTGCTGGTGTTGCTCCCCAGCAGGTGGGTGTTGCTGGTGTTGCTGGTGTTGCTCCCCAGCAGGTGGGTGTTGCTCATGAGGTAATATATATATTGATGTTTCAGGTACGTCGTGACCAAGCACTGCATCAGGTACGTCGTGACCAAGCGCTGCGTCAGGTACGTCGTGACCAAGCACTGCGTCAGGTACGTCGTGACCAAGCTGGTACGTCGTGACCAAGCATGTAGGTGAGTCTAACAATATCCTGTTATTGGCTCAACCTATATCCTATATCTACGTATATATATTATACGTATATTTATTAAAAATTATAATTACGTATACATATTTATATTATATATTATATTGTAACGTGGTTACAGGGAGCTGGAGCGTACGTCAAGTACGTCGTCACCGAGCATGTACGTGGGCCTGACCATATCCTATATCTGCGTTTATATATTATACTTATATATATTATATATACCTAAATATTATATACGTATCTATATGTATTATATTGTAACGTCGTATACAGGGAGCTGGAGCGTGACAGGGCGGGGCTGGCGCAGCAGGTGCAGCGCGACCTCAACGCCAGGGTCCTCGAGTGGGGCATCGAAATCGGCCACGTCGACATGTGCGTAACGCGGTATTCTGCACGTGTGACTGATTTTAAACGTTTTTCAACGCGCTATAATTCGTCATAAACTCGTCTAACATGTCTCAAACCGTTTTAACATGTCTTTGTCAGGTTCTACCTTGTCTCAACCTGTTCTAATGTATCTATACGAGTCTTGAACTGGTTCTATCGTGTCTCAACCCGTTCTATCGTATATAAACGAGTCTTAAACAGGTTCTATCGTATCTAAACGAGTCTTAAACTGGTTCTATCGTGTCTCAACCCGTTCTAACGTGTCTAAACGAGTCTTAAACAGGTTCTATCGTATCTAAACGAGTCTTAAACAGGTTCTATCGTGTCTCAACCCGTTCTAACGTGTCTAAACGAGTCTTAAACTGGTTCTATCGTGTCTCAACCCGTTCTAACGTTTCTAAAGAATTCTTAAACTAGTTCTAATGGGTTGTGGTACGTCTTATCGCGGGCAGGAGTCAGGTGACGGTGCTGAAGGAGCCTGAACCCAACGACCCCCTGAAGCCGTTGCTCGGCGCCCTGGGCTCCTTTGCCGGCGGGGGCGCCGCGGGGGCCGCTGGGTAAGTCCCGTGATATCTTTACGATGGTCGTAATTACGTCCTGTGATATATTTACGGTGGTCGTAAGTCCCGTGATATATTTACGGTGGTCGTAAGTCCCGTGATATATTTACGGTGGTCGTAAGTCCCGTGATATTGTCACGGATGTCGTAAGTCCAGTGATATTGTCACGGATGTCGTAAGTCCTGTGGCGATTATTATTTCTGCGCTCATCGTAAGATATTAGGTGAACATAATTTTTGCCGAGGACTTAAATTCTATTGCTATCGTAAATTTTATTATAATCGTAAATTCTATTACTATCATAAATTCCATCACTATCGTAAATTTTATTACTATCGTAAATTATATTATAATTGTAAATTCTATTACTATCGTAAATTCTATCATAATCGTAAATTTTATTACTGTCGTAAATTCTATTAAATCGTAAATTTAATACTATCGTAAATTCTACTACTATCGTAAATACGGCCTCTATTTCAAATCCTTCAATAGTCGTAAGTTTTATTGAATTGCACGACATCGCTCGTCCTTAAGTCGTCCCTATATGTCTGGTCTGGCCATCGATTATCCGCCGAAGTTTATTGAAGAATTTCTGTGGCATTTTTTGTTCTAATTCTGGGAACTGTTTTAGTAATGCAACCCAATGATGAACTCGAAATATTTTTTCTGTTAAATAAAGTCTCGGTCTAGTTAATTACACAATTAGATTTATTAGAGCCAATAAAATGAATAGTAAATTATCTTATTGCAATATTATGTACTATAATTATATATATATTATGTCTATACACTATAATTATATGATCTTTTAGTGATGTATTATTTATTGTATTGATCACTTTTCATCGGGCTATCATTATATTTTTATCTATTGTTTTTTTTTTGTTGTGCGTTGTGTATTGAAAGATAAATTGTACACAGAGAAATGAGTAAAACTTTGTCCAAATAGCGATGGAAATCCAAACCCACTCATTTATCTCACATTATTTCCTCCTGTAGGGGGGGCGGCGCCCTTGGGGCAGCAGGGGCGGGGGGCGCCGTGTCGGGCGCCTCTGCGCTGCTAAGCGGCCTCCTGTCGGGGGGCGTCGCCCCCCCAGCGGCGCCCCCCTCCAAGGGCGCCTCTACGGTCCTCAACATCCCCGGGCTGGCGGGGAGTCCGGGGGCAGGTCAGCTTCCTATATGAAATAATGAATTATAATATAAAATAATTTCATGAAATAAAATATATCACAGTATAATATGGTGTTATATAAAGTAATAAGTATAATATATAATATAATATAGTATTATATAATATAATATAATGTAATATAATATAAAATAATATAATATGATATAATATAATGAGTACCACTGTGTCCCGTATATTTGCATATGCTTATTAATCTCACGTACGTCCCGTCATTCTCCTTTTATTTTGAGTGGTATTGAGGGTTTATTAACATCTAAATTAATTACCTGCTAATTAGTATAACAATTATTGTTACAAAATATTCATTGTAACGCTGCGACCTGCAGGCAACGGCCCCGTCATGGGGGGAGCCCCGCGCCCCCCACAGATGCCCCCCATGTCAGGCAAGTCCCCTATATATAAATAAATATGTATACCGTATAAAAATATAAATATAAAATATGCGATTCCTACTGCATTATTCCCCTCTTATACTCTTAATGTTCACACATATCATTATTATATTATACGTATGTGCTACTATTCCTGACCAGTTAAAAACGATGAGATTTTTTAAATAAATTCTAAATGTTATTTAATTTTAAATTTTTGTGATATTTTGGTATTTCATCAACATGGAAACATGTGCTCACTTGCCATGTCCATGTTATGCGTCCACTGATATTTGTGCTAATGCACAAAAAAAATTGTGTTGATGCCAACAAAATTTTGAGTTGATGCTAAATTTTATGTTGATGCCAAATTTTGTGTGTTCAAAATTTTGTGTTGATGCTAATTTTTGAGTTCTGTCAGATTTTGTACAAAGTTTTATTTTTATTTGAACGATATTTTGTTACGATGGCAGGTTTTGTTCACTGCTGAATATTTCTTATGTTGTGCAATATTTTTTATGTTGTGCAATATTTTTTATGTTGTACAATATTTTTTATGTTGTGCAATATTTTTTATGTTGTGCAATATTTTTATGTTGTTCAATATTTTTTATGTTGTGCAATATTTTTTATCTTGTGCAATATTTTTTATGTTATACAATATTTTTTATGTTGTGCAATATTTTTATGTTGTGCAATATTGACAGTTTGTGGGGGTGGGGATGACACGGAGCCCCTCCTGCCCCGGTCCCCCTCCCCGCAAGGTGGGGAAATAACACCCTAACAAAATTTAGAGTCGCCCCAGCTTCTGGTAATACAAATCAGAAGCTGCCGCGTCTGTAAATTTTCATTGGGCATATTAGCCTCCGACGACACTCAGGGAATTGAATTGGTCATTTTTTTCCTAATAGTGACACACTTTTTTACCCACAATTGCAGCTGAGTTGTGATACGAACTTTTGACAGGCCAAATTGGGTCAGGGTGACCCACATTAAGGCAAAAAGTGCATCTCTATTTGGATAAAATCTCACTTATTTCTCAGAGTGTAGTCGCATATATATAAGGAGGGCTATTACATGTACTCAATTTTTTGAATTTACTCATGTTTATAAACACGAACCGACTTCGGTTGTTTGTAATTAATTGCCGCGGAGTTAGCTGGCAAATATTTATATATTGTAGCAATATTTACCGCCTACCATATTATAACATTATAATAACCGTGCTTTGTCGGTTATTATATATTCATCGGAGCAGGATTTGCAGCTTTACAGTTACAGTGCTAGGAACATACGTCGTAAAGGAATTATTTTAAGTGAAAGGGGAAGCTCAACAAAAGTAATCATTGTATCATGAAACGTATAAACTATTGAAGATGTTCTGGACGATGATGTCCACGGTCACGCTGATGCGCCGCCTTCGTCAAAAAAAACGTTCCCAATCCCTGACAGACGAAACATTCCCCGAACGACAATTAAACGCAAATTAAAAACAAACGTAACTAAAAAATATAACTATTACTTAACTAATGGAATAGGAACGTAACTACCGCACATCTGCCCTCGGTTGGGCCTGCTGATGCACGATGCTGCTATACTTGCTTCTTACCGCCGGTAGTGGTGCAGGGGTGGACGATCAGGAATTGAGTTCAAGGTACACGTCCCATCTCTTGAAGGTCTCAATGGTTAACTCCCTTCCTCCTCTCAGCCCCATAGGCAAGGCGTTGAACAGCCTCTATCCCGCCGCGCAAAGCGATCCATCTGAAAAAAACTCTCCCCTAAGTAGCCCAGCGCCCATATCCCGCTGGTCTCGTTGGACTGCCTCTAATTGCCGAACTACGCGGACCGTGAATGGGGTTCACAGCTGGCAGCAGTACTAAAGGAGAGGGATCAAAATTATAAAGGCTTTGAGGCAGTACTATCAAAACTCGCTTAGGTACACGTAGCGGTTGATTTCTCGTCTGTAATTGGTGGATTTAGCTTGAAAAGCCGTCGGTGATTGGTTGATGGAGTTATAAACTGGGATTATTAGGATAGTACGTCCCGCAAAGAGTGTGATAATCGGTTCCGCTTCTCTTCTTCTGAACGTCAGCCAAATCCGCCTCATCTATCGCCTGCCTCTTGCAGCTACCTACATCCGCGAATTTGGCATCAAACGTATCTTCAGTATTCATTGACATGCACTCCGAAATCGCAAAAAAGTTCTTTCTCATCGGTTTTTCTGTAGTGATCGATACAGCATCCCGACCTCTGTCTCAACCCAGTATTTTAATACCTCAAACTTAGTATTACGTAAAGTAAAGGATATTACCCCGCCTATGCACCACATGTGTATTCTTCCTACCACCCTCAGGCGCGGGCGCTGCGTACGGCGCCCCCACGACGCCTCTGGGGCAGTACCTGGCGTCGCTGGTGGCGGCGCCCACGGCGGGCGCCCTCACGCACGGCGTCTACAGACTCGCCGTCGAGCGCCCGCAGCTCCCGACGTGCGTCTTCGTCATCTTCGTGGGCGCCGGTGGGTGACATGGGGTGGCGGGGGGTGCTGACCGTGAATGGGGTTCACAGCTGGCAGCAGTACCCAAGGAGAGGGATCACACAGGCTCGTGAGGGGGAGTGGGGTTCATGAGGGGAGTGAGGAGTGGGGCAAGTGAGAGGGCGAGGAGTGGAACACGTGAGAGGGCGAAGAGTGGGTTAAATTGTGTGCTCACCATCATGGGTGGGTATAAATTAATGATGCACAACAATGTACGAGTACGAGACCAGGGATGCTAGGGTATGTGTGCCCGGTAATGCCTTGAAATGTGCTGCATGGGAACGTAACCCGTAATTCAAATGTACTTCTGTATACATGTGTACCCCCCCTCATCCCCCCCAGGTGCCCGGCAGGTGGTGGAGGGGGATATCCCCTCCGTAACCCCCGACGTGAGCGTGACGGTGTCACAGGAGGACCTCTACGCCATCTTCTCGGGGGCGCTGCCGCCCTTGCAGGCATACCTGTCGGGGAGGCTGGGGGTGCAGGGGAGCGTGCAGATGCTGGTGGGGTTGCAGGTGTTGCAGGAGGTGCACCAGAGCCTCACCCCCGCGGGGGGAAAGGGGGGGACCTTCGTCGTATAGGAGCAAGCGGGGGGAGGGAAGCCCAAACGGGCCTAGGAGGGCCGGGGGGTTACGTATCCTTACGACGATGGTCGTAAGTCGTACGGTGATGCGTAAGTTGTACAATGGTCGTAAGAGGTGCCATGGTCGTAAGTCGTACGGCGGCTGATATACGGTGATCGTTGTACGGCCTATACGGCTATACGCCTATACGGCTGTGTGCCTATACGGCTATACGCCTATACGGCTATACGCTTATACGGCTATACGGCAGACGGCTCTCAAACTTACGATGAGCTCTGAGTATGGGACGGCCGTGCCCGTACCCGTGCCCACGTGACGGCCGCATTAAAGGCGGCCATGGCAGCTACCCACCACCCCCTCCCTCCTTCCTCCCCTCCCTGCCCCCGCTTGCTTAGTCATCGTCGAGCTGGATGACGTCATCGTATAGCTTGATGACGTCATCGTCATGCTTGATGACGTCATCAAGTTACGTTAGGCTTATAGCTATGCTACAGGCCCAACGTATTCATATTTTTAATTAAGTTGAAACTTATTTAGATATTTATTTCCATTTCAGCTTAATTAAAGTTCAATAGCGTTGGGCAATCGCTTTAACTTTTACTGGCCTGTAAACTCACAAGCCTGGTAGGAATAACATTGCCTGGTAGGAATAACATGCAGATAATGCAGAGCGTTGTTTCTCATGGCTTCAATATCTCCACTCGTAGCTATGGTAGGAATAACATTGCCACAGATAAAAATATAAAGGTTAGTTATAAGAAATTCCCCTCAGCCTCACTTCGCACAATTTCTTTCAAGTTTCCCATTAAATTACGCTTTGATAATCAATGGATATCATTAGGAATTATTTTGTTTTAAAACTTGATTTTATCTTTTGTTGACTTTATTGACTTCAGACTTATCATTTGTATCATATAATTATTGCAAACAAATATATAATCAAAAGTTTCTTTCGACTAACTATTTCGACCTGCACTATTAATGGTTATTTAAAATCCAATTTTATTTGAATTCGATAGTACATTAAATCTTGTTTGAAGTCGATATATAGTGACGGGCCTGTTATTTTATATTAAATGTTTTATGAAGTCAATAGTGACTTACTAGTTATTTTGTATTCATTGTTATTTTAAGTGAGGTAGACTCACAAGTCTGGTAGGAATAGCATAGCCTGGTAGAAATATCGCGGTCTGGTAAAAAAAATATCGTGGTCTGGTAGGAATAGCTTGGTCTGGTAGGAATTTCGTGGTCTGGTAAAAAAAATATCGTGGTCTGGTAGGAATAGGTAGACTCACAAGTCTGGTAGGAATAGCATAGTCTGGTAGGAATAGCGTGGTCTGGTAGGAATGTTGTGGCCTGGTAGGAATGTCGTGGTCTGGTATATAGGAATGTCGTGGTCTGGTAGGAATGTCGTGGTCTGGTAGGAATGTCGTGGTCTGGTAGGAATGTCGTGGTCTGGTAGGAATAGCGTAGTCTGGTAGGAATGTCGTGGTCTGGTAGGAATAGCACAGTCTGGTAGGAATAGCACCGTCTCACTGAACTAAATCGAGCTACTACTCTTAACCCATCGCTAGTACGAACTAGTACATGTTTATACAACATCTAGGAGCATTACTGCACTAGAACTTCTATGTACAATAAAATCTAGTCAAATTCTGCCATTTGTTGTATTTTTCTTCATCCTTCCACACACTTACATTTCTGCTAGTTAATTGATGTGTCTTTTTTTCTAGAACGATTGCTTCTAAAAATATTATGTGTATGGATTTACTTTCGTATGTATGTGTGTGTGAATGTATTGTATTGCTCATTCATATTGTGTAGATGAATACGTCGGCAAAACCACAACGAATTATTTAAAAATTTGCCCGTTTATAACTGATTTTATAGCGATACGACGAAGCATTCAATTGGATATTAGATTCATGAAAATATATCGTGTTAACAATTAAATTAAGTGCAATGGAAGACATATATGCCTGTAGGAAATATTATAGTCGATGAATAATGAAGCAAAACAAATTCACTATAAAGCTGACCATTTGTTACGGAATATACAGACAAGGAATAACGCATTAACGGAAAACTTTAAATAAAAATCCCTAAACTTATCCGAGGAATGATTATATGCTTGTAGAATATCGAAAAATACCAGGGGAATGGTTATTAATTGGGGAATAATTGAATTCATTTATCCCTACCTATACCGGTATATTATTTCAATAAAAGTAGAATCCCAGAAGTCACAATCACCATCACCCAGGTACGACATCACCATCACCCAGGCGCGACAATCACCTCTATTACGTTCAATAATTGATTCAATAAAAATAACAATATCCTAGGCGCGACAATCACCATCACCCAGTGCGACAATCACCATCACCCAGGCGCGACAATCACCATCACCCAGGCGCGACAATCACCATCACCCAGTCAAGCAATAACTTCAGAGACTTTCCCTGAAACATAAAATTATTAACATAATTTCAATGAAAATAATAAACCTAAATGCAAGTATTTTATTCATATTAAAAATATGATCCGGAAGCTATCCAGAAACTCTTGGGAATGACAATACTTGATGCGAATGAAAATTAATCCTTCATCAATAAAATCAAGACGCGTATTTGCTCCACAAAAATTTAATAATAACTTTACTGGCACGAACTTTAATATCGGAATTTGACGAAAAATAAAATTACTAACGTAAAATCTGACAACATTATTGCCGTAAATAAATATGTAGTTTTCGCATATAAACAGACATGTGGGCACTAAAAAGACGCTTGAAAATAACTTCCTCGTAGCGGACTTTAGCATGGGACGGCCGACGAAGCGCGCGTGCGTGGTCGCCATTGTGGAAGTTCTCGTCAGTCGCGCTATAGCCTTTATAGGACGAGGTTATGTGTTTCAGAGCTCCGCTGTTCATCTCATTCACGTGGGTTAGAACCCATGTTTCTCATTTTATCAACGAGATTTACGTATCATGTGACTTACCTATAATTTTATTCATCTACGCATTGTTGTGGATTATCTTGGAACCGGCGAAATTTGACAGAAAATATTTATTTGTTGTGCTTACCTGTGACTGATCGACCGCGGCCATTTTATGTTTTTTGTTGACTTATCTCGTAATTGTAGGGACACTTGTGGCCTCCTTGCAGTGGTGACTCAACTGGTATTATTAAAATAACTTTTTCAGTGATTATTCATGGTTGGTTCGCGTGGTTCCTGGGCGTGTGAGGTGGCAGTGAACCGACGTAGTCTCCGGCCACGTGCTCGACTGTGGCTGAGGGAGGCTCGCGGCGTGGCAGTGATCAAAGCTTTATTTCTTGATAAAATCAACTGGTGTTTTTATCTAAAACTTTCGCAGTGATTTTCATATTCATGGTTTCACAACGTGATGAATTGATGATTGTGACACATTTTCTGAATATTTATTTCCTGATTACGAAAATAATGGCTTAGAATTGTGCTCTGCAACTCTATACTTGTTTCGCCTTGACACTAAGTCACCAAGTGTGATGTTTGGTATGTTAATAATTCATAGTTCATACTGCACTAAACTCGCCACATTTTCAGAAATTCGATTCAGTACATGTCAGAAATACATTTCCTTGTATTTTGTAGATGCAAATGATTTTTAATATACTAAGGAAACTGTTGCAATGTTTGTTGAAGCATTTATTTAATTTGCTTCACATGCTGTATATTTGTTATTTTTTAGTTACAAATTTTAGAACATTTAAGTCTTACATTTTATTTTATTTATTTTTGCTATATTTGTTGATAGAATAATCTCCTGTTATTTCTTACATAGATTGAACTACAGTTGTAGTGTTACGTTACGGCGGCGGACAGTTGGTGTGTTACGTTACGGCGGCGGACAGTTGGTGTGTTAAGTTACGGCGGTGGACAGTTGGTGTGTTACGTTACGGCGGTGGACAGTTGGTGTGTTACGTTACGGCGGTGGACAGTTGGTGTGTTACGTTACGGCGGTGGACAGTTGGTGTGTTACGTTACGGCGGTGGACAGTTGGTGTGTTACGTTACGGCGGTGGACAGTTGGTGTGTTACGTTACGGCGGTGGACAGTTGTAGACTTGTAGTGTTACATTACGGCGGTGGACGGTTGGTGTTACGTTACGGCGGGAATTTACGTTGAGGGATTACGTTCTTTCATTACGTCCAGAGGTAATTTTATCATTCATCGTATATTCATATATCGCTTAATTTATAACTATATATATCAATATTTTATATTTATGGAATGTTCCGATGGTGCCATCCCTGCATGCGCAACTCGATCTGTCGTCGTCTTACACCCAGAAAACTTTAACGGTCAACAACTCTTTTTGATTCCGCGTCTGAGTACCGCTACGTTTAGGTAACAATGAAGGGATAATTATCGACTACTGGATTTGCGACGTCGTTTTGCTTTATGACTTCATCGATAATTTTTATCTCTTTTATGCCTTTTTATTTTAAACCACGTAAACATTACTACACCTCTGAATATTACTCCAACTTTTAAGTATTACGCTAGCGCAAAATGTTACACCACTATTAAATATCGCCTAATCAAATGAACATCACACCCTAGACTCGAGTTTGTAAACAACGAAAGTCCGCGTAGTTCTTATTTCTTCATTTCTCAGACATTCCATCTTGCCAGACACCAAATGACATTGATTAATTACCAGACAATATGATAGATATTAAAATTTGGTAAATATGAACAAACTACGTTTTTAATGAAAAATACAAAAAATGCCCAGTAGCCGAGTAGCACACTATCGTCAGTGCCGATTACGTCGCCACTGCACTTAAGTCGCCGGGCCAGTTTTAGTATACCGGTATATGTGGTAAGTGAACCCTACAAAACGTAGTTCTGACCCTTATTATTCGGTTTTTGGTGACCAGCGGCAAGGTACGTCACATTTTTCTTGCAGTTTCTGCTGATTGGAGACCAATGTGTTATTGACGGTAGCCAATAACTTTTAATAAGTAAATTGTTTCAATTCATCCGCTCGCTGAAATTAGGCTACGATCATATTATGTATATTGCTGGAAAAGACAGCAGCACTTGCATGCTGCGCTTATTAAACTGTACTGTGGAATACTACTGTATGCTATATATTATATAGAATACTATGCTATATATACTACACTACTATGCTATATTGTGCAGATATGCTCTCTGCCAGTTGGGACCACTGGAAAGTCTTTATTATTAAAATGCACATGTTCTTTGTTTTGGAACATTGTTCTTCTTTAAATATCTGTTAATGCATCCCAATTCACAAAAAACATAGATCTATACAACGAAATGAAGATCCATTTATATATATATATAAAATATATTGAGACAGCTATACGGTATATACATATAGGTAGGTATATAATGAGATATGAAGACAAACCTAGAGGCCCCATCTGTACATCAAATCAACATTCATTAATGCATCTTGACAATAATTCATCTAGTCATCAAAACCTTTTTAATTAATAATTAAACAAAACAAAAGTAATTAAAAAATTATTAAATAATGACAAATTAATTAATAATTAAACAAAACCTATTCACATACCGTAATAATACATCAAAACCTTTATCTATCTAAACATCCAGAGTTCCAGACACATCCAACATTGCATCAATACATCAAGCAGGAGTCACCATGCCTGCCTAAGTCACCGATATTCTGTTATAATATAGTTGTTAATAATAATAAAATAAAATAATAGTTTTTCCATATTTATTTTCAGAGTAAAAGGATAATCTTAATGTTGAAAGCAAATTGAATTCTCTTTGCTTGTGCATCATTATTATTATTATTTATGATAGTCATTATTAGTATGTACCTATTATTTTTTTTGTATCATCTTTTATTCATGTTTGAAGAAGATGTTTCCATATTTTCATTCCATGCAGATTTTTATAAATCTATTAATATTTCTCCTCAGGTACATAAGTAGTTAGAAACTGAGCTTCATGAGCTACTTTAAATTGAACTATTTTAATTCTAGGTAGTGACAGATGGTATTTTCTAATGCATCATGGATGTAGACAAACATAGTGTTAATACATGGATAATATTAATGTGACCTCTGTTTGTTCAAAGCTTTTTCTGTGTGCTTTTGTATTTATTGTATATTCTGAACATGGATGCGGGTAACCTTTCTCCGTCAAGAATACCATACCAGAGACAAACGTCAAGTTCTGACACTAACCAGAACTGTTTGCCACTTGCGCTGGAGGCTTCTACTAGTGTAACTGCTGGGGGTAGTGACAAAACTGTCACTTTACCACTGAACAGCACCTTGTCACTTCATGGCATTGCATCATCACCTATCAACAACAACTTGTCAAATATTGGTTGCATTTCTTCACCACTAATCATCACATCATCGTTGGCTGGCACATCATTGTCTGTGGTCAGCTCATCGACAGCCTTTGTCAGCACAGCAGCTCCACTTGGCAGTCCTCCTGCTGTGCTTGGCACCTCTTCAGCTGTGCTTAACAGCTCTCCAGCCGTGCTTGGCAGTCCTGGTCTGCTTGGCAGTCCTCCAGCTCTGCTTGGCACCTCTTCAGCTGTGCTTAACAGCTCTCCAGCCGTGCTTGGCAGTCCTCCTGGTCTACTTGGCAGCCCTCCATTTGTGCTGGGCAGCACTTCATCACACTCATCACTTGTCACCAATGCAGCTCTGATCTGCACCACCCCATCACTGCTCAAGACCTATTCTGCACCACTCTGCACCCTCTCATCCTCACCCTGCACTATATCATCACCACTCTGCTCTTTACCAACACCACTCTGCACCATTTCCTCACCACTCTGCACTGTATCATCATCATCACCCTGCACTATTTCCTCACCACTCTGCCCTTTATCAGCACCACTCTGCACTACCTCACCATTGCCCAAGACCTCTTTGTCACCACAAGATGGAGTCCTAAACTGTGGCAGTTCAAACTCAAGAGCTGTTGTGGATGGCATCAGCCTGCCACCGTCATCTGATGTGGGGAGTTCACATCACCCGAAGGTGCCAGCAAACTGTGCAGCCCCAAAAACGGGGATGAATTTGCTGTTCTCACCCAAAGATTTGGCTAAATCTGGTAAGTGAGAGGAAATGGGTTATGGCAAGCGTGCAACACAAATGCCTATTGAAGAAACTATTTATTTTAACAGTCATGTCGTTTATCAATAGGTACTGACTTATTCAAAGAAAAAATGGTTAAACTTTTGAGTGCCCTAACTTTGAAATTTTTATAGAATATTTTATTTATGGGCTTCTAATAATGTCTTCAATGAGTTCACTTTGCCTTCATTTTCTCAATCAATGTGACACATTACAGCTGATCAATATAACACTTATAGTACCTATATAGTAATCATTCTAATGTTGAAGTATATTATAGAATATTTGTATGATGAGGTTAACTTCTCACTTTTCAAGCTAATTTCTCATTTAATCAGCTCAGAAGCTGAGTATGTGACCAGCTGGATTCCAGCTAATTTTCTATACATCCATGATAGTACTGGTATACCTATATTATATCCAAGAATTATAATTCAATTTACTTGTAATAATTAATTGAGATTGCAATTGAATGTCCTATGCACTGGTAGGAATTAAGTCTCAACCTACTCAGCAGGTATACAAATATATTGCATGAACGCACTATGCATCAAGCATTAAATTTTAATTGAAAGAACATGTGCAGGTGAGACCAGGAGGAGAAGTGCGGACACCCTCCTGAAGGGTTCGGAGATTCCTCAGAAGTCGTCATCTCTGAATGAGAAACCTGATAAAATAAGCCCAAAGCCATTCAATATCAGTCACAACTTATCATCTGACAATGAAAAACCTGATAAATTCAATCCAACTGCCCCTAGCTTGTCTCACAATTCATTAACTGTGAAAGAGAAGCCTGATAGATTGAGTACAAGCGCCTCTAGTTCTGCCAAGCACATCATGACGTCAGCACCCAGCAGTGTGCCGCTCAGGAAGCCTGTTGATATTATGATGCACAAAGACAGGATAAATTTACTCAGGCAGATGAGTCAGATATTTAATGAAGAACAGAATGTTGCAGCTGCTGAAGCCAGCTCCGCTTCAGAAGATGAGAGAGATGAAAGTGAGACAAATAAAAAACAAGTGATAAAAAATGAAGAGTCAACTAAAAGAGAAGAGAAAATTTATACCAAAAGAGATGAAGAGAAAGGCTATACTAAGAAAGAATTAAAAGAGTTAACTAAGGAAAATAGAAAATCATTGAAGCCGAAGTGCAAGGCTAACTCAGAGAGAACATACCTTTCTTTTGACAAAAAGGTAGATTTCGCCAGAGAAAATCTCACAGCAGAAGAAATTCAATGTAATGCATCATTGGTGAACCCTACTTCTAAATCAAACTTATGTGATGCCTCAAATGCTGTTGAATCTCCCATTGAAAGAGAAACTCTACAAAAAATCCCTTGTGTAAAACTTGTTCCTGATAAACCAGAGTTGGTGAACACATTGAGATTAATGGAAGAAAAGATACATCCTGTCAAATCTTTTCAAAATTCGAGCACAGAAATGGAAGATAGCGCTGCAGCTCTTCCAGACCAGACCAGCCACGATGAAACAGAGGCAGCTAAAGTGTACCATGTGTCCAGTTATTCCAAAAGAATTCAAGAGAAAATATCTGTGCAGAGTTTTGTAGGCAACAAGGATGAATTTATTGATATTATTGATGGGTTTTCATTTATATCATTTGAAGAAAAAGAGGCGCTGTTGAAATATAAGCATCCGACCAAGAGTAAAAAACTGCAGCACATGAGAAGACAAGATGTATCTCCCAGCTCTTCCCAGCCTGACACCAAAGTTCTACTCACCAAGGAGCTTAAGAACTTGAGTGACGTTGGAACTTCTCAACTCAGTTCTAAAGCTTCTGATGCTCCAAGTGGTCCATCAACCTCTACTTCAAATGAATGCTCAGCTTTTTCAAGGTTTGATGAGAGTCTAAATTGTTTTATTTCATACGGTGATACAATTTTTATTTAAATAGGTAATTGCAAAAGCGTCATGCAGAGATTGAAAATTACATTTTAATGTAAATCTTATCAGAAAGCTTTGGAAATTTGTAAAAACAAGAGATCTTTAGCTCCAAAAAATGCTTTTAGATTGAAATGAAGTGAAACAGATACAGGCAGGTATGCATTCAAAACGTCATTGCTATTTATATCCACAGTTCTAATTTTTAATTAGACTTTACTCTGGAGTCTAATTAAAACTTATTAAGTATAATTGACACTCATTAAGTCTAGTTAATACATATTTGTGCAGCTCCAGCCTTGATGAATTCCTGTGCAACAACTCAAGGCTGAACATCAGCTACGACGTGCCGGAGTGCAGGTACCACAAGTTACCTGTTACATTCAGTTACATTAAATTCAGTTATTTATTAGTTACATTTAGCCTTCTGCAGTATATATCTGTAATCCAGTAAATTTGCGTCACATACAGAGAGAGCATTGAGCAGGTAGTTTAAATTCTGTTATCCAGTGTAAAGTGGCTTCATCAATAGATAAAATAAAAGCTCTAAAATATATCCTCGTATTTCAGTAAAGATATTAATCACTGTGAACCATAATTTTGAGAGTGTGAACTGGGGTTATGATCAATTGAGTAGTATCTTTTAATTGAGTATCTTTTAAATGAACTTTGCTTCTGACTAACCATTCGCGGCACCAACAAGCCATCCTATAGTTGTGTCCTTTTAATTTAAATTAGGAATTTATTAAAAGTAGATATGTACATTTTTGTGCTGAAATAATCTGGCGAACAAATCGTAATGTTTCTCAGAAAGACGGTGGAAGGGGTTTCGAAGGTGTGGGACGATGACGACGAAGAAAGCCCCAAACCTTCACATCTTCGCAGGAGTAGCCCTGCAACTCACCAGGAGCTGAAAAGTATACAAAACAGATCTGCAGGGACTCAAGAAAGACGTTCAGCTCAAACCACGTCAGCTCTATCATCGTCATCATCGGCTATGGTTTCATCGTCATCATCATTACCGGCAATTTCATCGCTCACACCATCCTGTACATCGTCACCCAGTTCATCAACTTCGCCTTCTTCAGTTGTGGCTTCGTCCTCTGTGTTTGGTTCTTCATCTGCCGGTTCCCCCGTTGCTAAGAGTGAGGTGAAGTTCTCCGAAGCTTCTTCGAGCAAACAACAAGCATTTTCTTCGTCCATGTGTAAACCAGATAAAGTTGGGGCGAAAGATCCGAAATCCGATGATTTATTCGCGCGGCCAAAAACTTCAGACGTTTTCGTGTGCCGCGCGGGCAAGCTGGTGCCGCTCACGAGCATCATAAAGAGGGACACAACGACCACTAAATTACCAGAGAAAAAGAAGAATAGTGATTTAATTTATGTGTACCATGAAGGAAAGCTTTTGACTATGGGCGGCGCCCTTTGTAACGTCGACCCTCGGTACAGCAAGTCCCTAACGTCACAAGTGGTGCTTCCGATCAGTTTCCTTAACAAAGGAAACCAGAAAAGGAAAGGCTTGACTCGCAGCAGCTTCAGGTCTGTTATCATAGATAAGAGGATGGCGGGCTTTGCCCTCAGTGCCTTGCGTCATCCACGTTCCCCTTCATCGTCACTCTCACGTCATCCACGTTCCCCTTCATCATCACGTGAATTTCCCTCGCGTCATTCACTTTCCCCTTCATCGTCACGTGAATTTCCCTCGCGTCATTCACTTTCCCCTTCATCGTCACGTGAATTTCCCTCGCGTCATTCACGTTCCCCTTCATCGTCACGGGATCTAAACAAGCCCCCCGTCAGGCATAACCACGTAACCTACAAGCGGCCTGCTGCCTTCACCAAGACGAAGGCGACCAAGAACAGCATCCTTGATATCATATCGGAGAAGCTGGCCTTGACGATGTACGATGACGATGTATGTGAAGACGATGAACTTGAATCCAGAGACTCGAAGCTCGTGCAGAAAAATTTGCATCGTTTCCCGTCTTTGTCGCGCGAGATGAAGAGACTTGATAAGAAGTTTGCTGATGCAGATAACGTTGAGGTGAGAAATCCTGAAATGCCAGAGGTCTTCTTTTTCTTTTAGACAATTTAACTCATTCATTTTTCTTGATTTTAGTTAATGCGTGAAAAATTTCCGCCATTAAAAATCCCGTTTCACAAATTACCCGATTTTTTATTGAGGTTCTGTTTCATTAAAGAGCAGGCATCTTATTGTGCAATTCCTTACCTCGCTTTAATTCCTTACTTTATTTTGATTTTGAATTAATTTGGTCTTTGAATACAGTCAATCCTCTATTATTTTGGTCTTTGATTTAATTTAGCACTTAATTACTTCGGTCCTTATTTTCCTATAGTCCTTAATTTATTTTTTTACTGAATTAAATCAGATTATTTTCAAGGTGTTGTGCTTTACAGGACGGCAGGCTGGAGGAGGAAGCTAAGGCGAGAACCAGCGTTCCTCAGCAGAGGCCTGCGTCAGGTAATTGCTTCACCAGGGCGTCCCTTATGCCATCAATGCCGATAACCTGGTCTGTAGCACTAAAGTCGCCCGCCTTCAATAGAAACGTTCTTTTTTATATAAACTAAACTGAACCACATCGTCCGAATAGAAACGATATATATTATAAACTAAACTGAACCACATTATTCTAGCGCGATCTAAAAAAGCTCTTTGGTTATTATGTTAAAATCGTACCCTACCATTAGTAGTTCTGGCCAGTATTATATATTTTTTTCAAGTCGAGCAGCGAGGTATGTGCAGTCTCTGCTGAGTGGCGACTTACGTGACATTGACGGCAGAATGTCTCTTCACGTGTATCTTTTTGTCTTTCGTTTACAACCTCCAGTTCTTTCAAGGGCGAATTATTTCCGATTTTCTGCCAATAAAAACTAAATAGCAATAACTTTATTAGCAGTCATTCTTAACGTATGAGAAGCATCCTCATTACCCTCTTGAAAAGTTAGACTTCATAATTTCTCTGTTACTCTACCAGCAGAATTTATGGAAGTTCTTGTTGAACTTATTCGTCCATTAATGGGAAAACTTAGATTCGACAGGCAATCTTAATAAGTTATAGCTAAGAAAAAATTAAGGATAGGTTTCGTGCAGGAATTTAAATTCTAAATTTTACTGTAATGTGAATATATTTGTTACTGTTTTGTATTGTGTATTGTGAATATTTCAGTCGAAATTGTAATTTTGTACTTTTACTTCAATATTCAGTAGCTACTTGATATTAATATTTGGCGATATATTTATCAGTACTTTTTACAGGTGGAGTTAGATAATATCAACAAATGTAATTACTTATGTCTTCAGATGAAGACATAAAGTTGAAAAACTATAGCTAAATTTCACATTATGCTAAATTTCACATTCCAAATTTCACATTCTAAATTTCACATTATTCAAAATTTCACAATATTCAAAATTTCACAATATTCAAAATTTCACATTTATTCAAAATTTCACATTATTCAAAATTTTACATTATTCAAAATTTCAAATTATTCTAAATTTTACATTATTCCAAGTTTCACATTATTCTGGGCCCATACTTTCAAAAAAATTCAAGAGATCGTAAGTTCATCAGCCAATCATTGACGGCCTTTCGAGCAAAATCCACCAATCATCGACAAGAAAATAGAGCGTAAGTACTTACGTTCACTTAGCGACTTTTGAAAGTATGGCCCCTGAAAATGTATTGATACGGCGAAGACATTCACTAAGCCTTCCTGTTCAGATGTGAAGGGAGCGCAGGCTGCCCCTGAGGTGCGGCGCTGTCAGGTGCAGGTGCCCTGGTACCGCCTGCCGCCGTCCCTGAAGGTGTGGTGTCTTGTGCACCACTGCTACGACTGCCATTGTGGGCTGGCATCTCCTGACGACGGAGGATCCTGCACACTGGCGACTCCTGACGATGTTTCCGCCGCCAATGCCGACGATGACATCGGCGGCAGGAAAGGCCTGGGTTTCTACAAGGAACAATGTTTCAACGAAGAAAATACGACTGATGCTGCTAAGGAAGCTGCAGAGAATAAATATCGTGCTGACCAACACTGGGCCATGGAAAGCCCGACCAAGGGGGCCAAGGAAGGGCCAAAGAAGGAGACCCAGTGGGCCAAAGACGTCCCAACGAAGGTTGAAGTGAAGTCCGAGCTGTTGTCGCCTGATGCTCGCGCGAGTACGATAATTACAAGCGAGTCTTGGAGCAGGGAAGCTGGTTCTTCGCAGTCCACAGACTTTGAAAAACTCAATGCACTTCAAAGCAAAAATTTAGCATCTAGAAACTTGCTTTCTGACGCTGAAGCGCCTTCGGGCTTACAGAGATTGTCTTCTGGAAGCAAAATTGGTTTAGAAAAAGTAAAGCCTAGCCCTGCAATCGAACTCACGATGAATTGCATTGGGACTTCTGTTGGTGGGACTTCTCTTGGTGGTGGGACCGCTAATGTTGGTGGGACTTCTGTTATTGCTGGGACTTCTAACGTTGGTAGGACTTCTGTTGTTGGTGGTAAACCGCAACCTTCTGGTCGCTTGTCTGCCTTGGCATGGAAGAGGAAGCTGGATCAACCCCATGAACTGCAGACCAGCTTGTCTTCTCCTCATACCAAGAAATTCAAGGCGGCGTCATCTCTCTGGTGGAAAGATCCTTCGAATAAAAAGCTGACCAAGGACGTGAATGGCAATTCTGGTAGGATTCCTAGTGACAATTCTGGCAGGATTCTCGGTGACAATTCTGGCAGGATACCTGGTGACAATTCTGGCAGGATATCTGGTGACAATTCTGGCAGGATTCCTAGTGGTACTTGTGGTAGCCTACTTAGGAGGAACGTCCACATTGAAAATGAGAAGTCCAAAAGATCCTGGTCGGCAAGGGACTTGGATGAGCGTGCGGCCGGGACCAAGTCCACCAGCAGAGATGAGTCTGAACTCCGTGGCAAGAAGAGGTAAGTATATTATAATTCTACTTATAGTAATGAATAAAAAAGTCTAATAAAATGTTTGTGAACAATGGTCCTAGTTGATGTAATATACAGTAAAAAGTTTATGCACACTATAATATATTATACAAATAATACAAGACACGATATAGCCACACACAGGTGGATATTGCCTCCAATGACGGAACATGTGTAATCCGAGCAGGTGTGAATGTTTAAACTTTATAAAAAATTGATTATTTAATGTTTTGAAATAACAATTAACTCGTATTTAATAATATAACTTTTGAATTAACTCAACGATTTTAATTATTTTATAATGCCACAACCCATGTATATTAGCCTCCGTTTTGAGACCTCTGATAGAATAGAACAAAATGACTGGCATATTAAATTCGTACATATTCACTTCCATTGAACATCGAGCTTGCATTTCATCTCGCGGTCGTTTTCTTTCTAATGATAGCGTTGTCGTCTTGAACTGTATATAGATTATCATTTGAAATTGTGAATATTCACTGATGTGAACTACAAATGGAAATCTAGATTCGTTATATTGGTATAACATGAACTCTTGAAGTATAGGTATGTGTATCTCAAGTTATGCATTCATCGCCCATGTTTTCAGTAGCAATGTTTCACTAGGTTTCTATACTCTGTTATCTTATTCAATCTTCGTATCCTTTACTGAGCGTTTGTGTGGATTATGTCTGTTCATCACTTCATCGGCGTCTCTTATGTCTATTCATTGTTCAGGTTGTATTTCACTATTTTTACACTCCGTGTATTTATATATTATTTCGTATCGTTGTTAACACGTTTTTCTTAGCTTAGCTTCGCGTTTGTTTGTTTGTTTGTTTGTTTGTTTGTTTGTTTGTTTGTTTGTTGTTAACATTGACAACAAAAATTAGCCCACTTCTGATTGTTCTAGAGACCTGAAATTCGGCATGCAGGCTATTTTTGCCTAACAATTTCAGATACAATCATAAAAACTAGTAATTAGAGACCGAAATTAGTTTAATTGAGTAAAGTATATATATAGTATATATATAGTATGACGTGCGGGCGCTCACGTTATAGACGTATACAAGGTGACAATTCTGGCAGGATACAAGGTGACAATTCTGGCAGGATACAAGGTGACAATTCTGGCAGGATTCTCGGTGACAATTCTGGCAGGATTCCTGGTGGTAGTTGTGGTAGCCTACTTAGGAGGAACGTCCACATTGAAAATGAGAAGTCCAAAAGATCCTGGTCGGCAAGGGACTTGGATGAGCATACGGCCGGGACCAAGTCCACTAGCAGAGATGAGTCTGAACTCCGTAGCAAGAAGAGGTAAGCAAATTCTACTCTAAGTGATGAATAAAAAAGTCCAATAAAATGCTTGTGAACAATGGTCCTAGGTGATGTACTATACAAAAAAAGCTTATGCATAGTATAATATATGTATACAATACACAATAAATAACTTATAATTTATTCAACGATTTTAAAAATTTGATAATGCCCCAACCTTGTGTAGTAGCCTCGGTTTTGAAACTTCTCATAGAATAGAACAAAATGACTGACCCAACAAATACGTACGTAGCATCTTCACTTCCATTGAACATGGAGCTTGCATTTCATCTCGCGGTCGTTTTCTTTCCTATGATTGCTTTGTCGTCTTATAAAGTATTTAGATTATCATTTGAAATCGTGAATACTCACTGATGTGAACGAAATAATGGAAATTTAGATTCATTATATTAGTATAACTTGAACTCCTGAAGTGTATAATTATATGTATCGCAGATTATGCATTCATCGCTTTTGTTTTCATTAGCAAGGTTTCACTAGGTTTCTAAACTCTGCTTTCTTATTCGAAACTTCTTATTCTTTACTGTGCGTTTGTGTGGAATATATCTATTCATCGTTTTATTGTAGTTCACTATTTCTACATTCCGTGTATTTATATATTATTTCATATCGTTGTTTTATTCATTGTCTTAAAATTCATTCACTATGTTTAATTAATTCATTGTCTTTCAATTATTCACTGTGTATTATTCACTCTGGAGTTTACCCTGAACTTTGCGTTGGGCAGGAACACGGCCCTTGCCATGGAGGGACCCGGCGACAGTGAAGTGAAGGCGAAGGAGAAGCACCGAGTCCTGCCCGAATGCGTGATCCTAGAGCTGTGCGTGGGACAGAAGGAAGGATCAGCAGGACGCTCGTCTGGTCCTACCATCCACAATATCATCAAGCATTGGAGCCACGACATCGATGATAGCGCGCGCACTTGTGGATACTCCAGAGAAGGCAAGACCTACCGAGCTGTACTCAACCCTCAGAAGCAAGGGTTTGATTATATACCTCCTACACCGCCCCACAACTCTAACGCTACCATCAAGAGCGTTCTCTCTGCATTCCTCAAGAGGGGGTATATTCGCGACGTCCAGAATGAAGATGGATCCCTTAAATATGATCCTGAGGAAGCAAGCTTCGTGTATTGCCACAACCGAAACCTCCCCATCCTCAAAGACAAGCCCGTGGTTGCCGCGTCTCAGATTTTTATCCCCAGTTTCAAGGACGGATGCAAGAGTCCCTTGCCCCCAGCAGGAGGGACTGGGGCTTCTAGCCCTCACAAGACCCCAATATCTTCCCCACCTAGTGGGTCATTGCCCATTCGAGCCTCTAGTTCCTCGACTGTAGAAGGCGAATCTGGAAATATCAGCATCCGTTTACCCCGCACCACCACGACGACCAGCTCCACCAGCACCAATTTCACCTCCCAAACCACTAACAACAACAGCATCACCCGTACCAGCACTACTAACATTACCTGTACCATTACCGTGCCAGATACTAGATGCATCAAGGATAGTGACAATGATAAGAGGTTATCATTACCGGAGATGATGGCGAGTAGAAGTATCAAAGATAGTGAGAATGATAAGAGGTTATCATTACCGGAGATGATGGCAGCGGAGGAGAGGAGAGGGGAGCTGGAGCTTGACTTGGGCAGCACAGCGTCGGGGGCGGCGCTGCTGGTGGCTGAGGCGCGCTTCAGGAAACTTATTAACATGAACATCATCGGCGTCATCGGGCTTAACAAACAGAGCAGGTTAATTGTTATTGGCGTCATCGGGCTTAATAAACAGAGCAGGTTAATTGTTATTGGCGTCATCGGGCTTAATAAGCAGAGCAGGTTAATTAGTATTGGGGTTAATAAGCAGAGCAGGTTAATTGTCATCGGCGTCATCGGGCTTAACAAGCAGAGCAGTCTCATACAGACCAAGATCAGCAACAGACTCCTGGACGTGGGGCCTAACATGAGGGAGATATTCTTCCCCCCACACCTCCCCACCGGCACAGTCGTTAAACCAAGGTATAAGTACTATGGATTTATATAGTAAATGTCCTGACAATATTTGTAATTGTTAAACAAGGTATTTGTACTATGGATTTATATATTGAATGTCCTGAAAATATCTCTAAATGTCGTAACAATATCTGTAAATGTCCTGATACTATCTGTAAGTGTCCTAACGATATCTGTAAATGTCGTAAAAGTAACTAATGTAATTCAAGACGAGATATTTCAAACTTAGCTTATTTACGATACAAGATGTCATGCATTTCCAAAAATATTTTCAGTATATTTCAATATGTAAATACAAACTTCAATACAAGAGCTTCAAAAGACCTGGTATAAATCACTATATTTTTTAAAAGGCCTAGCACCTACAATGTGAGCTTCAACAACGGAAAAAATGTTCCATTTAAATCTAAACTAAATTTAAACTAAACAAACTAATAAATATAAACTAAACTAATAAATCTAAACTAAACTAATAAATCTAAACTAAACTAATAAATCTAAACTAAATAAAGGGAAAAATGTTCCACTTAAATCTAAACTAAATTGAAGTGTCATATTTATCTCAGGTTCGTCATGATCCGACGTGACCGCAACGGCTGCTGGGAAATAGTTGGGCTCGTACAGAAGAAGTCGTCTGAGAACCAACCTGAGCACCTCCAGTTCTCCTCCAGCGACGTCCTGGACGCCAACTTGGACAAGAAATCCTCCATTGTGCATCCTGCGTTTCCCAAATCCTCTGTTGCAGATCCTATGGGCACCAAATCCTCCGTTGTGGATCCCGCATACACAAAATCTTTAGTTATGGATCCTTCGTGCACGAAATCCTTCCCCACTTCTGCCATGGACGAGCCTGGGTCAGTCATGTACAGTGCTTCTTCAGTCCTAAGCCTGCATTCCTCTCCTACTCCCCAACCTGATCCCTCCTTGCGGTGTGAATCCCCTGCATCGACATCGACTGAATTGACGACGCTTGGGGCACAGAAAAACCTAACGCTCCCACCAGGACGAAACTCACTGAAAACTTCTGAAGAATCTGTGAAAAGCTCGAGAAACGAGCCTGCGCCTTCAATGACCAGGGGCTATCGTGAGCAAATTTTAAGTGAAGTTAAGTCAATGCTTGAGACTCCTACACAGAAGGCATCAGGGAGATCTTCAGTTGGTGTTGTATCTAATGCTGTTCTTCCTATCGGTAATGTACAGAGGAATGAGTCTACGCAGCAAGGACCTCGAAGCTCTTTGCAAGTTGTGAACCGCAATATTATTTTATCCCAAAAATCTCCTCCTAAGTTCAAAGTAGGAGTCTCTGCTATTACACGCCTTGATGGCTCACCAGCTTCGTTACTCAGCGGTCATAAAAAGAACCTGTCAGTCACCAGGCCCGGGACTGCAGCTGCTACTCCGAAATTTCAAGTCGTCTATAAAGTTCCTTTTATTTGTGGTTCAGCTGCAAGGAATGACCGACCTGCTCGTATTTCGACCGCTGCTCCTCTCACCCGAGACGTTTCATCCACCGAACAAACATTGGTCCCTCAAAGCATTGCTCGGCCATTAGCCAAGTTTTCTCCCGTACTTGCAGCTGAGAAGAAGCAACTCCAGAATTCTGAGCGTGTGTGTGCAAGGAGTAATACTGCTGTGGCTAATAGTGATAGCGCCCCAGAACACTCGCTTGACGGACATCAAACTTCGGTCCAAACTTCCGCTGGGCCTTCTGGAACGTGCGATTTTTCGACTCCTGTCAACTCCAGTGATGGTGGGACGTTAAATGAACGGTTGTCTTCAGCTCCCACCATGACGATAGCAGAGAACGCCAAAAACGAGCTCCCGTCTCTATCAATAACTTCGTTGTCACCTGGGAAACAATACAACAAGAAATCTTCCTGCAGCCAAAGCCAGACTAGCAAAAAACTCGCTGCTGGCTCCGCACCAGTGAAAGCTATGAAATGGGCCGCCATCGATCTATCAGTTAATTTCAAGAGCATCAAGCTGGCCTGGCTGAAAGGTACAATACAGAAGTCAATCCTCGTTCGTATTCGCTTGACGTCCCTTGAAAGTAAGGGAGTCGTGACGTTCACTGTGCGGGGATCGGAGGAAGAAACTGTATTGTACGGCAGAGCTAAAATGTGCAAATCTCCTGTCATTCTACTTATTTTGGGGTCATCGATAGCGGCGCTAGACCACGCGTTGAGTCTCGCTTTCGCTGATCTTTTTAAATGTAATATGATGGCGTACGTTATCAAAGGGGAGAAAGGCGAACGCGCCTTTTACCGCTACTCCGGTCCCGGTCACTTGACTCAGATTGAGGTAAAGAAGGAATCTTCATCGGGAGCTGTTGCCCGCCACGGCCGCCAGCTCCCTGTGGAAGAATTGCGAGGCGGCGGCACAGTCACATCCATAGTTATAGATGCTGCTGAGATTCCCAACGACTTGATTAATCAAGAACCTGAAGTTCCTAAAGCTTCAATCGACTCCTGTAGCTGCGGCCATTCCACGTGCTCATGTCCTGCCACAACACAAGTGCCTGGACAGCAACAAAGTTCTGTAAAGAGTGCAAGTGAGAACAGTTCTGATTGTTCGTCGTTGCCAGGAAATCAATCGTCGGTTGAGACAAGTTCTGATATTCTTGTGCATCAGAACGACGCGCAGGAAAGGACCAGTCCAGCGTCTTTTGTGAAGTGTGAAGGATCTGGGGCTTCTGGAATGAAGGAACTTACTCCTCCTGCGGCTTCAATGTCTGCAGGTTAGTGTTAATTTATTCTAACACTGCTTGTGATGCCGTGGCAGCCTTTCTTTGCTTTCTTGTTATAATAGGCATCTATTTTTGGTCTTAGTTGATGACTAGAGTTGGGGAGGCCGGTTAGAAAACTACTTGAAGCCATTTAAAAAACTGATAAGTTAGAATGTCAATATTTTGTAGACAAATAAACATGTAGAAAAGGAAAAAGCATTTCTCAAGATCATAGTACGATGACATAGAATACCCAGCCGCAAGGCAAATGGCGTTGAAGTAACGTTTATTACGTATTCATTTTCTTGTGACTTCATATCAATTTTATTTTAATGTGAAATGCCTGGTCTGCAATTGCTTGAAAGGAAAGAAGCAATTATATGAGTGTTAAAATGTTCAGTATTAATCGTTTCATTATAACAGGAGAAGAACCAACTTCTGATGATGAAGATGTCGCCTCGTCTCATCCTGGCTTGTCTGTCGAAACTGGAGTAGCAACGCAGATCTACCCGGCAAACAAGTCTCCTTATTCCAGCTGCCAAAATCATTCAATCAGCCCAAAGGCCCCGTCCAAAAATATCAAAACCACACTTGTGGGTCGCAAAAATGTTCCCATCAGCCCAAAAGCCACTTTCATTGGTCCCGCAATTCCTCTTACTCTTAACACGGAATCGTCCGCTGGCCTTACTACAAATTCTACGAACTCTAAAACAACCTCAACTATTCCATCAGCTACTTTAACTAGCCCTACGACAACTTCTGTCCCAGCAACAACTTCTGTCCCAGCAACAACTTCTACATCCCCCACATCTAATCCCACCAGCCCCAATCCACTATTCACTTCACTTAAAATCCCATCTATCGGTGGGATTGCGGGTCGGGGCAGATTGGGGATGAACGATGGGCTTGATATTCCTGGAACTGCCGTGACTGAAATCTCAGACCCGCATCCCCAAGTGTCCCCGCTGGGGAGCGACACAGAAGCTCCCAGTTCCCCACACAGCGACGACCTGCCTCTTAGCATCTGTCTGGAGGACGCCGGTGTCGAGGTGGGCTTGGATATTATTATATTATTTATAATAATAATATTATTTTGCGACTTTGGTTGTGACAATTTTCCAAATTCCATCGTCAGTTATGCGAGTTCAAAATCTTGGCTGGCTTAAGATATGAGTAACTGGCTCTTAAAATCTTAACTGGCATACGGTAGTAGAATATCATGGTAATCATAGAGAAATTTTATACACATTTGCATTTGAATATGTCCTTACTACTTAAAGTTCATACTAAGTTTGAATTAATTAAATTCGAAAATTATATAACTAAGTATATAATTTATATTCAAACTAAGTTTCAACTAATTATATTCAATAATTATATAACTAATTATATTCAAACTAAGTTTGAACTTATTTTATTCAACAATTATATAACTAATTATATTCAAAATGAGTTTATTCGACAGAAAATTACAATTATTTGCATCTTTCAGATCTTGGCGGCAGAAGACCAGGACGTGGAAGCCGCTGCATTGACGGTGAACGCCTCGCCTGTCAAATGTCCGTCTGTCTCTTCAGAACTTCTAAAAACCAAAATGTCTGCCTCCCGACGAAAGCCTGGCTTTTTTTCCAAGAAGAAACAAAATTCAAAGCTTAAAAAAGGTTCTAGGTTCCTCCAGAAATATTCGAATAGCGGTCGCTTTAAGGAGTCTAACGCTCGTCCATGGAGAGCTGAAGGTGCTACCTTCTCCTCTCCAGCACGTGGATCTGTAGGGAGCGAGCGCCTCTCTAAGACCACAATGGAAAAGAACAAGAACAAGATCACCATTATTAAGAATAAAAATATCGCAAATTTGGCGATAGGATCGCGCCAAACCGTGATGGGAATTGAGAAGCTTGTTCCAGAGGAGAGCGATAGCGGCACCAGCGTATCTCGCCGCGGCGGCCATCGGCGAAAAGGCTCCAGCAAAAGGAAGGACAATAGTAATGGTCGCCGGGGTAAGGACAACAGCAACGGCCAAGGGAAGGACAACAATCTCAGCAGAGGGAGGGACAACAGACACGGCAGAGGGAAAGACAACAGCCACAACGAAATGGAACGACTCAGGCGTAAAGAAATCGGGGAACTTTTCGTGGACCTGCAGAGCGTTCTGGAGGAGGAGCGCGGGGACGATCTCCCGGACGTCAAGAAAGAAGTTTGGCCCAAGAGGATGACCCTGAAGCTGGTAAACTGTGTTCTGATGATCTAAAATTTATAGTTTACGGTATTTAGCTAAATTCTATCTCGTCATATTTATTTAATCATATAAACTCTTAACGGTTTCGTGTCATTCCCGCCAAATGAAATTGAAAAATGTTTATTATATGTTGATTTCGTTGAAACAACGTTTATTCAAAGTTATTTCAACGCTAATTACCAGGTAGGATGTTGATCTAAATTATGTTGTGTCAAAAACTGATCATGAATTGTGAAATCTGTCACCTGCAGCAGACTGAAGAGTGACGCCGAGTGCAACAAGTAGATCAAGTAGATTTGGGTTCATATTCGTCTCACAGTCCAGTATAGTTGCTGTTTTGTTGAATAAAGTAGGTATACTAAATAGTAAGCGTGATCAGCGTTGAATAGGCCTAATCTAGCCTGTCGCCGATTCTAGACATCGAATTGCTTCATATTTACAGTGCCTTGCTTCATATTTACAGTGCATGCTTCATATTTACAGTGCCTTGCTTCATATTTACAGTGCATTGCTTCATATTTACAGTGCCTTGCTTCATATTTACAGTGCATTGCTTCATATTTACAGTGCCATGCTTCATATTTACAGTGCCATGCTTCATATTTACAGTGCCTTGCTTCATATTTACAGTGCCATGCTTCATATTTTAAGCAGTTTAGTTATATTTTAAAATATTATTTATTATAATTAATACATTATTTAGTTTAATTCGTGATCATGCTTCAATTGCATGTGAGTTATGTGACTTCACACATTATAACCAATATTTTTATAATCTAATTTAATATATGTATTATTGTATAATTTGTGACCGCTTACATTGCAAAGTTTTAACTAATGTTCACTTCGTCAGTTCCTGAAATAGTTCTTGTTGGGACTTACTCCCAATAGTTTTTGTGGGAGTAAGTCCCAATAGTTGGGACTTACTCTGAAATGATTTTTGTTGGGACTTGGGAGTATTGCTATTTTCAGCGATTTCACTTGTTGATGGTCTAAGTTTTTTGAAGACAAAAATTATTTGAAAATTTGTGCTGATGTACTCAGGATTGCAATACTTGCAATTATTATGAAATTATTTTTTTTAATTATGATGTATTATTGTTTTTTTGATTGATTGTAGATTGAATTTCGGAATAAGTCTCAAGAATTTAAAATTTATGAACCTTGTTCTTAATCCATTTGAATATTAATTAGATATTTTTTTTTAAATTGGGAAATAATTATACTTTTGTTTGTACAGAAGCGAGCATTGAAGCCAAGGAAGCAGCGCAGCAACTGCTCGATGAACTAACACTTCCCTGCAGGGTTAAGGTACTAATAAAATAATCTATTATAAGGTAATAATAATAACTAGCACTAATATTTAGTGCTGAGGTAACTAGCACTAATATTTAGTGCTGAGGTAACTAGCACTAATATTTAGTGCTGAGGTAACTAGCACTAATATTTAGTGCTGAGGTAACTAGCTCTAATATTTAGTGCTGAGGTAACTAGCACTAATATTTAGTGCTGAGGTAACTAGCACTAATATTTAGTGCTGAGGTAACTAGCACTAATATTTAGTGCTGAGGTNGGTGAGGGCGCCATGTGGTGTGTGGTGAGGGCGCCATGTGGTGTGTGGTGAGGGCGCCATGTGGTGTGTGGTGAGGGCGCCATGTGGTGTGTGGTGAGGGCGCCATGTGGTGTGTGGTGAGGGCGCCATGTGGTGTGTGGTGAGGGCGCCATGTGGTGTGTGGTGAGGGCGCCATGTGGTGTGTGGTGAGGGCGCCATGTGGTGTGTGGTGAGGGCGCCATGTGGTGTGTGGTGAGGGCGCCATGTGGTGTGTGGTGAGGGCGCCATGTGGTGTGTGGTGAGGGCGCCATGTGGTGTGTGGTGAGGGCGCCATGTGGTGTGTGGTGAGGGCGCCATGTGGTGTGTGGTGAGGGCGCCATGTGGTGTGTGGTGAGGGCGCCATGTGGTGTGTGGGCGCCATGTGGTGTGTCTGTCTCTTATACACATCTAGATGTGTATAAGAGACAGGGGCAGCACAGCGTCGGGGGCGGCGCTGCTGGTGGCTGAGGCGCGCTTCAGGAAACTTATTAACATGAACATCATCGGCGTCATCGGGCTTAACAAACAGAGCAGGTTAATTGTTATTGGCGTCATCGGGCTTAATAAACAGAGCAGGTTAATTGTTATTGGCGTCATCGGGCTTAATAAGCAGAGCAGGTTAATTAGTATTGGGGTTAATAAGCAGAGCAGGTTAATTGTCATCGGCGTCATCGGGCTTAACAAGCAGAGCAGGTTAATTAGTATTGGGCTTATCATTTGAGTCATGGGGCTTATTATTCCCTTGTTAATAACTTAAGTTTTTTTAGTTATTCCTTTATTTCACTGAGTTATTCATTTAGAATGCCTATTATTCACTGAGATATCAGAGACTAACAATATTCATTCATCCGTATTCACATTAAGCTCTTTGAATATTTTTATTTTTCTTTGCACTCTTTCTAGATATATTATTTGCGTATAAGTATACACAGAAAGAGTATCTATACTGTATTTTTATACATAGGTACAGTTTTCTGTATATAGTTACATTGCTTTCATACTCGTATACAAATAATTTACTATACAGATGTATCATAGCGCCGTTAGAGTCGAATATATTATTTGCGTATAAATACACAGATAGAATATAATGTATTATTATACATTCAGTTTTCTGTATATACTATTACGTTACTTGCATACTCATTCATGAATAATTTACTACGCAGATGCATCATAGCGCCGGTGGAGTCTAGTAATGTATTATTATACATTCAGTTTTCTGTATATAGTTACATAACTTTACATACTCATACATGAATAATTTACTATACAGGTGCATCATAGCGCCGGTGGAGTCTAGCGAGATGCTCGCTAAGATGCGTCTCATACAGACCAAGATCAGCAACAGACTCCTGGACGTGGGGCCTAACATGAGGGAGATATTCTTCCCCCCACACCTCCCCACCGGCACAGTCGTTAAACCAAGGTATAAGTACTATGGATTTATATAGTAAATGTCCTGACAATATTTGTAATTGTTAAACAAGGTATTTGTACTATGGATTTATATATTGAATGTCCTGAAAATATCTCTAAATGTCGTAACAATATCTGTAAATGTCCTGATACTATCTGTAAGTGTCCTAACGATATCTGTAAATGTCGTAAAAGTAACTAATGTAATTCAAGACGAGATATTTCAAACTTAGCTTATTTACGATACAAGATGTCATGCATTTCCAAAAATATTTTCAGTATATTTCAATATGTAAATACAAACTTCAATACAAGAGCTTCAAAAGACCTGGTATAAATCACTATATTTTTTAAAAGGCCTAGCACCTACAATGTGAGCTTCAACAACGGAAAAAATGTTCCATTTAAATCTAAACTAAATTTAAACTAAACAAACTAATAAATATAAACTAAACTAATAAATCTAAACTAAACTAATAAATCTAAACTAAACTAATAAATCTAAACTAAATAAAGGGAAAAATGTTCCACTTAAATCTAAACTAAATTCGAGTTTCATATTTGTCTCAGGTTCGTCATGATCCGGCGTGACCGCAACGGCTGCTGGGAAATAGTTGGGCTCGTACAGAAGAAGTCGTCTGAGAACCAACCTGAGCAACTCCAGTTCTCCTCCAGCGACGTCCTGGACGCCAACTTGGACAAGAAATCCTCCATTGTGCATCCTGCGTTTCCCAAATCCTCTGTTGCAGATCCTATGGGCACCAAATCCTCCGTTGTGGATCCCGCATACACAAAATCTTTAGTTATGGATCCTTCGTGCACGAAATCCTTCCCCACTTCTGCCATGGACGAGCCTGGGTCAGTCATGTACAGTGCTTCTTCAGTCCTAAGCCTGCATTCCTCTCCTACTCCCCAACCTGATCCCTCCTTGCGGTGTGAATCCCCTGCATCGACATCGACTGAATTGACGACGCTTGGGGCACAGAAAAACCTAACGNCCTGTCTCTTATACACATCTAGATGTGTATAAGAGACAGTCCTAACACTGCTTGTGATACCGTGGCAGCCTTTCTTTGCTTTCTTGTTATAATAGGCATCTATTTTTGGTCTTAGTTGATGACTAGAGTTGGGGAGGCCGGTTAGAAAACTACTTGAAGCCATTTAAAAAACTGATAAGTTAGAATGTCAATATTTTGTAGACAAATAAACATGTAGAAAAGGAAAAAGCATTTCTCAAGATCATAGTACGATGACATAGAATACCCAGCCGCAAGGCAAATGGCGTTGAAGTAACGTTTATTACGTATTCATTTTCTTGTGACTTCATATCAATTTTATTTTAATGTGAAATGCCTGGTCTGCAATTGCTTGAAAGGAAAGAAGCAATTATATGAGTGTTATCACTGAACCCAACACTTTTTCTGAAGCCAACACTTCCACTGAACCCAACACTTTCTCTGAACCCAATACTATCTCTGAATCAAACCCATTACCAGAGACCAGTTCTTTCGCTCATGGTAATCATGAAGATCATAATAATTCTTCCAGTTTATAAACTCGCATCCTTCCGATCGTATAAATAATCCATGGTAATTATGTTTATCAGGGATATATATCATGATAACCAATATGTTAATGGTTGATTATGATGATTATAGCGCACCCTCAATAAACCGAAAATTAGTGAATTCATCTTCATGCGATGTTATTAATTCTAATTGACTACGTTCCTATATTATCGTCATTATTTATACAGTATTATTTAATTACCATAATTTTTGTTTTATATTATTATTTGACTGAATAACGCTCTAGTTATTGCTATTTTTCAATAATATTCACAAAAGCTCTGGGTTAAGTAATATCATCTTTATTCAAACTCTTAAGTTTTATTGGCAATCGAACCTGCGACTCAAAACCTACTTTCTAAGTCATCAACTACAAATTCCATGTCAGGATTATATTTTAATTAACTCGAATTTTTCAATTTCCGTGGAATTTCTAGTTGCTTTAAACTCAAAAAATTCAGCACTTATAATTCCAAATAAATTTCTTCGTTGTCATTAGCATGTAATGGCCTGGTAACGATAGTTACCTTCAGTGCAGGGTAATGATAATTACCAATGCGTGGTACCGCAATTAGCGTTACCTACTCAGAAATATTAATGGCTCTTTGTCTCCAAATATCGACACACTCTTTTACCCCACAGCACGAGCACTGAGAGAGGACGTAGCGCTGATACATTTTTTTGCCGTGCCAAACTGGGTCAGGATGACCCACAAAATAGCGTAAAGTGCAGCGCTATTTTGAACAAGTCTCCGCTCATTTCTCTGTGTGTATATATCATGTCTGCTCAGGGAACTAGGCCTAAGAGGCCTGTCTTCTTATGGCATTAGTAGTTTTCATGAATTATCTTTTATAATCTTATTCATAGAGAATATATAAGCAAAAAGAAAATGTCAAGTAAGTTCATCATGTCTTGGCCATTTATTTGGTTTAGATTCTCAATTAATTAAATCATTTAATTTCAGAAGAATGATTCAAGTGTTGCACTCTTGTATGATGTGGGCAATTCAGTTATAATATTTATGCATGTCAGTCCCTTTGTATGCATCAGAAAACTATATTAATTCTTCCCTCTAATTAGCGAATTACGAACCATTTAACCGGAAAGTGTTCATTCGTAATAAATAAGAACCAATTTATTTTCCGCATTGCTCTGTTTAAGGCATTAGTTATAAACACTCAAGAATATCCGTGTTAGTTTGATTGTGATCTTCTTATCGATATTAGGACTGGAAATCTTCATTTCTTGCTGGTTGACCGTGGTGTGGTTTTAACTTTACGGAATGGAGTTTCTACACTCAGGACAACTGATGGATCACACTGTCCAAATAGTGACACGTGCTGCATGTAGCTCTGATACGGGCTTTTTCCAGGCCAGACTAGGTTAAGATGGCCCACATGAGGGCCAAAGTGCAACGCCATTTGGACAATGTCTCAGGAATGTCTATGAGTGTAGTGTGTGTATAGATTGTCTACCGAGCTTTACCTTCTTTCTGTCCACTTTCCACTCCGCCATATCCACTAAAATAGGAATGAATCGCACGTATCAGATCCACCTGACTATAGGAGGATACTAAATGCTAGAGCTATCTTAGTGATCACTAATGTTGTTTAGATGAATAAAATGTATTCTTCGCACAAGCTTACGGTGATTTTTAGAGTGTGGCAGAGGAGAAAAAGTTTTGAATTTAGTCGCTGATTATTGCCGAGACAGGAGCACGTGATTATCGTTTTATTATCACAATAAAACTTGATAAGCGTTTCGGATGTAGCAGCCCCAGGCTACGCTGGATCGCCAGCTCGGTTGTAAACCTGGCCTTTCCAGCTTTGCTTTTGCGTCCAAATATTATTTTTTTCCGTGTATTCTCTAAATAAACAATTAACTCGACATTAATGTTGCTTGTTCATGTTTGAGGCTGGTCACATATTGGTTGATTTAGACGAATTTATTCCATAATACTGCGTGAATTCATATATTTCAAGTTTCTGTTATAAACTGTTCGCTTTATCGTTTTTTCAGAGGAGATTTGCGTTAAGTACAGCACACGTTGTCCAATCCTAAACTATGTGTCTTAAGAATTGATGTTGTCTTTCGTGTATTACAAAGTTTTGACAAGATTGTGTCTTGAAATCCTGATGTTCCCAAACCAAAATTGAAAGACGAACTTGGTACGATAAGTGCATATATTTTATATGTTTAACCAGCAGTTCACGATTCAGGCGTTACAAAATGTATACATAGCCAACATACAAAATATACTATCATAATTTCTATGTATGAACAAGTTGGAATAATTTTGGGCAGTAGTATGAACAAAGTTGATCATGCAGATGACGCCTTATATGGTCTGCCCTCTGTAGCGCGCTGAGGGTCTACCTTCGGTCTTAGAGTCGCAATTATCTCCCTAGCACATCAGCACAAAAAAATCTTTAACAATAACTTCAATTAATTAATTAGCACTTGATGAGTCAGCAAATCGCTGACGCCCAGCGTCGGTTCGTGAAGACGATTGGACGACAATGATGAATGAACGATAAATAAGCCGATTTCGGTAGGGACTAAATTAGTGAATGTTATGCAATGCTTTTCGACAGTTTGAATGATTCACGACGAATAAAATCTTAGTTTAAAAGCAAGACACAAAATAAGCAACGTTGATAAATAACCAATACATTCAGATTAAAATTAACCAGAATAAAAAAAATTAAGATCATTAATTGGAAGCATAACCACCGAAGTCGCTAATTAGTGAATTGATTATACACTGAACTTTAAAACTAACCACAATTTCTCCAAAAATTGCAAGTTTTACATTAAAATTTCACGATTCATTACGATGATCCACTGCACAAAAACTTGCATCATTGCAATAAAAACGAGGTAATTATGGCTGGATTTAATATTCACAAGTGGTACAAGAATTTTCCAGCTACTGAAATTTTATTAAAAAGTTTTCAATCGATTTTGCTCACAAGTTAAGGTTACCTGAAGTGCTTCGACTCGAGTGACATCGACAAGTTATAGAATGAATGTTCGATAGATAATAATGCATCAGAATTGGCAATGAAACTATTGGCTTGATCCATTATTCTTCACGGAAAACTAAAGGCCTAAAACTGAACAAAAAATCAATACGACTTATACAATTTATACTCGGTTTAATTTTCACAGACCGCGGAACGTAAAATAAGGCGTGAAAGCTCTTGCAATTGAGCGGATCTTTGCCCACATATTGATGTACCTTTTGCACTCGTGGGAATCATCCTGACTAAGCCTGGTCCGGCAAAAGGGCCGCTCTTTGCTCGAGCTGCAGGTAAGAAAGTGAGTTGGACACTTTGACCCATTCATTTTCCCGAGTGAAGGCGCAGGTTTTGGAACAATTTCGCTGGCTTTGTTAAGAACGAGAACAACTTGACGATCAATCCGCACTTGATATTTTCACCATGCAAGTGAAGAACAACACAGGTTACAAAACATTTTTCTAACATTACAACAAACAACAATTTCGTACATGACGTAAGGATACAAAAATGCCCTCGCGCTGGCTATAGAAATGAAGTCATTTCGCCTGTCTGCACAGTACAGGGCCCTCGCCGCAGTACTGGGCCTACTGCGCCGTAGCCACAGCAAAAGAAAATTAAACTTAAGGCCTAACGAGAAGTAACTCATCAGAAGGTAAAACGGTCACAAGAATATCGCTAAAATACAACTCATTCTACACGCGAGTGTTCAAAAATTTCTCACAATTGTCACTGCAACAATATTCTCTTTAGCAATTCAAGTATAAAAATACATGCCGATGCTCATCGCGGAATTTTCAAGAAAAGAAATTTTTCAAATACGTAGTTCCTAATAGGAATTCAGTGTAGTTCATTATAGGAGCTCCGTGTAGGTCCTTATAGAAACTACACCGATATTGGCTTTGAAAAAAAATTCGTTCAGTGAAACGAAACTAATAGCCTTCGCGGATACAGCAAGTGCCGCTACAGAATTAATGCCCTTAGCTAAACAAGTCCTTAGCTAAATAATACTAATATATCTCTCAGCAAATGAAAAATTATCTTAGGATAAAACCATCATTTACACGTTAGACTAGATTGAGCGATGCACATGCGCGGGCTCCTCCCTTTCCAACGGGGGGACTCTTTCCCCTTCCTACGGGGCTGGGGATGATGGACATTAACCCCTTCCAATGAGGCTGAGGGTAAAGGTAAGGGACGCCAATCTCGGGTGATGGATGGGTGTGGCGCAGGGGGTAATAGGACGAAATGGGGTGAGGATAAAATGTCCCCGAAGAGTGGGAAGGTAAAAGGAACACGTCGCACGCTTGTTTGCATTAAATTTCTTCAATCCCTTCATACGCGTGTTGATAATTTTCTTTCTAAAGTTTGAACTCAAGTAGTTTTCCAAGTAAATATAGCATATAAAAAGTAGTCAGTCAAATTTACACATTTGAATTTGTGAGCTAAACCACCAACAATTTTGTCGGTAAATGAGAAATTTCTTGTCACGCATACAAACATTTAATAAAATTCACACTCGGGACGATCATTTTCTGGATGGGAACTCAACTTCAGCTTTTGGAATGCAGCCTCTTGACGTGGTTCTGAAGGAGGAACTTCCTGGTGAAGGCGTGGGAGCAGACCTGGCACTTGAAGGGCCGCTCTCCGGTGTGGATGATGACGTGGCGCTTGAGGTCCGTGGACCACCCGAAGCGGCGGTCGCAATGCGGGCACACGTACTTACGCTGCTTGGTACTCGAGAAGCGACCTACCACAGACAGGCGCTGCAGGCGACTTTCGCCAGCAGGTGTCGTCCTTTGGGTGATGTCAGACTTAGACTTGGCGCTCTCGTCATCACTCAAGCTCGGGTTGACAAGGGTGACGTAAGGCTTAGATTTAGTGATAATGTCATCACCCGACAAAGACGTACTGACATCAGATTGGTAAACAGGAGAATCTTTGTTCTGAATACCATCACCTCCAGAGTGCTGTGTCACAGAGGTACTGAGATGAAGAGACGATTGTGTCGTTAAATTAATAGGCGTCAAAGAAGGAATTGATGCTCTTTTCGAATCAGGAGTAGTTTTCGCTGTGGAAAAGGCGCCTGAAGAAAGGGCGTCGTGAAGGCGGCTGCAGTTCAGTGGTAAAGCGGCAACAGACGAAGGAGCTGCCAACAGGAAAGATTGTAGTGACGCTGGTGAGGTGGTAGTTGAGGCGAGCAGCGGGGCTGTAGGGGCAATGCTGAGCGACGATAACGTAGGAACCGAAGGCACTGTCACCGAAGTGAATGACGGCACAGAAACTTTTTTGAATGAAGGAATAGACATCGGAGTGTAAGTACGAAGCGGTTTAACATTTCCAGCCGCAGCTCCTGACGCCGGCGCGCTGGAGATCGTAGCTAAATTGAGAGGCAATAGAGACGGCACCGAGAGGGTGTTCACATTCGATGTTATGGCAGTCGTCGGCATCGTTGATGGCAAGATGATCGAGTTTCTAGAGCCTTGTCCGCCTTGAGGTGACACCGAGAGCAAAGGATTTGAAGCATAGGAAGACTTGGTGAGATGTAATGCCGGTGATGAGGAAAGAGATACAATCCCAGAGGTGGACAGAGGCGGTAAGATGGCAGTTGGTGCCACTAGTGGCAGAGAGAAGGACGGCACGTGAGGCAGTGGCACAAGTGATCGGGAATCTGGCTGATGGGCAAATGAAATCGGAGATTTTTGCAGTGAAGTCAGATGATTGGACAGGAATGATGATCCTGGAGATTGGAGCGCTGAAGATTTTGGAGACGAGAGAACTGAAGACACTGGCGGATAGGTAATGGGTGAAGCTGGAGATTGGAGCAACAAGGGAAGCGAAGCAGGCAAAGTTGATTTAAAGGAAGTTTTGGTAATAGAAACAGAAGACAGTGATGAGCTACCGACATTGCTGGAAGATTGGTAGCTGCTAATGGTAAGCTGGTTGTAAGTGGTCGATGGTAACGGAGCTTCAATGGACCAAATAGCAGGAGATTTGCCGCCAGATTGGTAGTTCCCCACTAGGGATTTGTGGTGAGAAGCTGTACTACCTGATGGGGAGGCATCCGGAGAGAGCGGCCCGTATGAGCAGCGGGAATAATTGATAGGTTTAGAAATAGGAGAAAGAGTCAACGTATCAGGATTATCGTCCACAGTTGTGACATCAATAATTTCTTGCTCTGAATCAGAGTTTTTTTCTGGTGAAGAATTACATGAAAGCTGTGCAGCGTTTGTGTCTTCTTCAATAGCAACGGTACACATTGATGTCGGGTCAATTTTTAGCTCATCTTCGGGCTTCTCATCGATCACCATAATTTCCTCGTCAGAGTCAACATCGCCGCTCCTGTCCTTGAAGTTTATAGCATGCGAGGGATGCGGAGGAGGCGCCGAAGTTCGCTGCGCTAAGACGAGCTTCATGGCGCGTGATGGCGACAAAGCTCCCGCCGCTGTGAGGATGGAGGCTTGCTTCGTCACGTCCCTCGTGTCATTAAATGAGTGCTTCGCAGGGTTCATCTGTGGCACGATCGTCAATATGTCCGGCGTTGGGGGAGACGAGCTCTTGCTTTTCAGGGTAAAGTCGCCCACCTGAGGCACAATTGTTAGGGAATTGTGAGGGTTAGGCGAGAAACGTGAGCCGCGGAAGGATGAGGAAGCATCTGAGGACGAAGGGCTATTCAAGCTACTGAGAGCACCAGCATCAGACTTGGATAAAATTCTCAAGCCAAGATTGGGATTTATCATCACGACAGATTCTTCCATCTGTTGCATGGGTTCGTTTGAACTGACGAACTTTTTACGTCTATTTCGGCGCACATCTTGCAATGCTTGGTGTTTGGTTGGTTCTTTATGAGAAGCGTTTACTGGTATTGGAATGGGTTTCACTTTCCCTTTCTGCAAGCCAAGGGAGGGCTGAGCTGAAGGAGACTCGCTCCCTTGATAAGACGCTTGCCTGCTCGTGCTGTTTTCAGGAGAAGAGTTGACTCCTTCCAAGGAAGCTTTAGGCAAGATACTCACGAAACGCGACTTGGGTTCACTCGATGGAAATTTTAAACTCAAACTTTTTTTCAGTCTGGGTATAGGAACCTTCAACAAATCTTTGACGCGAGGCTTTGCTGAATTGGAGATAAAGCTATAGTTCTTGCTGTTGAAAGTGTTGAAAGATGGCACCTCTGGATTGTGATAAGTAGATTCAACCATGTGGTTGCCAACAATTGTGGCTACAATACCAGAACTTGTAGCGGCGAGAGGTGTGTTGTGAGGGATAACTTGGCTACATCTTTGAGTAACCTGGTCAATTTTCATGGCTTTTTTCTTTCTTGAAACATCACGAACAACACAAGACTTACTTTTCTTTTTCTGAATTTGCGAAATCGCGTCAGACGAAACCGATTTGCCTTTATGCAAAGAACTAATCTTCCGCTTTTTACCGTGCATCGAAGATAAATTAGTTAGGCTAGCATTACTACACTGACTCTCGCCTGCGTTGCCAGCAGAGCAATAACTGCCATCATATTTTCCTTTCACATTTGATTTTTCAGCTTCAGACACAACAGACTTTGGGAGCGGCACCATATTTACTGCCGTGGTTCCAGCCCTGCTGTCAGGAAGTTCCGAGGTGCTGGTAGAAGGGGCGATGCTGGGGCCACCCTTGGGCCAAGGGGCCACAAGGTCCCCCAGCAGGATGTTGACCCGGGGCCCGGGCCGGGCACCGAAGTGGGTCCCGAAGTGCCAGAAGAGAGAGCGCACCGTGCAGAACTGCATGGGGCATTCGCAGCACTTCAGGGGCGTCTTGATTCCTGCGGGACAAGAAATCTGTTAAAAAACTGCGGACACTCACTGAGGGGAATGGGGACACTCACCGAGGGGACTGGGGACACTCACTGAGGGGACTGGGGACACTCACCGAGGGGACTGAGGACACTCACTGAGGGGACTGGGGACACTCACCGAGGGGACTGGGGACACTCACCAAGGGGACTGGAGACACTCACCGAGGGGACTGTGGAAACTTACCGAGGGGACTGGGGACACTCACCGAGGGGACGTGCAGTGGGGCGCATCAGGGGCGGACGCTTGGCCCCCCCAGGGGGGAGGTCGTCGTAGCTCACGTCAACAACTTCGCCAGGCGCTGCATCTGCTGTGAGAGGCATATTTAGCAATGGGTATTGCTAGGTAATAAATAGATTATAGGTGATTAATAGATGATGGGTGATTATTAGATGATAGGTGATTAATAGATGATAGGTAACTATTAAGTGATAGGTAATTATTAGATGATGGGAAATTAATACCTAGATGATGGGTAATTAATAGATGATCAGTAATTAATAGATGATAGGTAATTAACAGATGATTGGTAATTAATAGATGATAGATTATTAAGTTATTAATAGGTGGCGGTGGTACCTATGTAATGGTCGAAAATATTCAATGATTAAATGGGATTAAGCGACATGTTTAATGAGCTATTAAACTATTTTGACTGGAAGGCCTAAAACATTGTCAAACTAATCAAAATAAGCATATTAGATGAACATGATTTAAAATAAAATATTTGATAATGTATAAAACAATACATAATACTTGATAATATATAATAATATAAACCATAGGTAATACTTTACCGTCCCATACATGATAGATTTTGTAAACTTGATAGTTAGTTTTAGTTTGAAACTCTTGAACCAAAATTTACCTTCATAGCTAGTGAAGATTAAAGTAAAAACTGAAACATAAATCAATATATCCAGCAATCTCAACTCAAAGATCCTTTTTGGAGGACTGCTATTTTGCATATATTTCTCAGTGGAGAAATATATGTATAAAACAACTCAATTTTAAATGATGCTCCAAGATCATATCACTGGTGACTTCAATCAAGACTCAACTACCGAAGCAAATTATAAATAAATAAAGGTTTATGGCTGCATTGCACAATTATATGCATCATGCTGCTGTGTACATAAAACTCCAAGTCATACTGAGAACAGTTAATGTTAGCTTGTCTATATTTTTCAACTTCAACCTTGATATCAGATTTCCATCTCTGTACTGCAAAGAATAATTCTACCAATACTCATACCACAGTTGTTCATTTTATCAAGTTAAAAAAATTAACTCATGAACTCACCAGCAAATCCCGGTTGTGGAAGCAGAAATTCTTTCTCAGCCATTGAACGACCAGCATTCAGTATGTCCATTGTTGCTGCAGAGAAGTCTTGATTTTTTTTCTGTTCCGTAGAACTTGCGACGCAATCAATCGAGGTTTCATTATATGATTCAACTTTACAGACTGTATTTTCTTTATTAGATTTTGCACTGCCAGCATCATTGATAGTGACCGAGTCCTGATGCAGGTTAAAACTTGATGTAACAGGCATCGGATGGAGGTTTGCGTTTGATTTGATTGGCACTTCATGTAAATTATCTGCTGAATGTATGGTAAGGATCTGGGAGTCCTCTGCCTCCGGTACATCGCCGTGCTGCACGAGTTGCTCCAGCGCCGCCATTAGAGGCACCCTGCCTTCAGTGGATGGAAAGGTGACTTCATCCATTTCAAGACTGGCTGATTCCGTGGCTGATTTAATATCCCATCCCTTCCCTGCAGACAAGCATTCATCATTCACAGACGAGGCAGGTTCAGCGTTATGAGTAGAAGCACTAAGCATCTCTTGTTTTCGGCAATTGTTTCCTTTAGATTCTACTGATGAATTGGCGCCTGCAGTACTTTTGCTTGAAGCTTTTCCTGCAATTGAATGAGTTGCACTTAATTTCTCTTTAGGAGAATGTTTACCCTCTTTTAATGGTGAATGTGTGGGTTTGTTAGACTTTATTTCCATAGAATGTTGAAGCATTGCATTGCCAGTGTTTGAGTGGCTTAGCATGCGGGCTTTCAGCTTGCTTATTGTGCTCGATATTGGCAACTCAGGGATGTAATTTACAGGAGCTGTGAGACCAACTCCTGACTCACACAACTTTGATTCCTCCTTGCACTGCTTCAGTGGAGAATTATCGCACTTTTTCAAGCTGCCATCAAACTTTTCTTTGCTGCAGTCAGAATTTACCAGAGATTTCTCCTCATGCTTTCCACAGACATCAACAGAGGGGATGATAGGTTTTACATTCACCTCCTTAGAAGGATCAGGTTCTGACTTCTTATTATCCTCTTCTTCAGAAGCAGCTTTAAGATTCTTAACAGCCGGAATGTTTTTTTTCACAGCAGACTTCATTTTTGAGGTGTGAAGGCGAAATTTTCTGAGGAGTGAGCTAGCAGCATCAGCCCTTCTTTCCCGCTCACGAGAAGACATCACTTTAGGTTTGGATAGATGCCCCGAGTCAATAACAAGTGATGATGTAGCTGTGACCAGAGTCTGTACTCTTTCACCCAACAGAGTTTTACCAGTTTGAGAGATCAGTGCAGTTTTATTCTTGCCGTCAACTTGAAACTTACTATCCCGCTGCTGGCTCGTAATATTTTTCAATCTGTTGGGCAAAAGAAGGCTGCGCTTCTTCTTGTAATAAGAAGACACTATCATCTTATTGGTAATACTATTTCTAAGCTTAGAATGATTTGAGCTGCTCAGTGATATGGACACCCCTGGACTGAGCTTACTTCTTGCAAGACCAGACAAACTGGGATTAGCCAAAAGTGAGCTCACAGGCGAGAATGAATTTGTGAGGAAGGATGGAGTTTGAAGGCTTTCTCTGAGGATGCGGCTTGTCTCCATGACATCTAGCTGATTCCCCTCTGGACGGGGCATGTTGCACATTGAAGAGAAATTAGAATACTCAGGATTGTTCAAGTGTGTTTTCAAATCTTCTTTACCATTCTCAACACAGTCAGTGTCATCATTTGAAGATGCAAATTCACTAATATCATTTACAACTTCCTTGTTACTAACAGGCTCAATGTTCATTGCTGGACGGTCTTGGTCACTTTCTTCAAACTCATCATTAGGACTTTCAATTGAGTTAATATCAATATTTGATTTTTGAGACTGGGTTATATTGGGGATTACTTCTGCCTTACCATTACTCATTGATGGCTCTCGTCTTGAACATTTCCTACAGCGTGCAGAAATTCTTGACTTGACAGGGCAGCGACAATTCACTTTTTTCAACTTGGTCATTTCAGTTTTAGCTGAAGAATCTATGGCCTTGATTTCAGAGCGTTTTGTTGTAGGAGGCCGACCTCGGTTTTTATGAGGTATCAATGATTTCCTAACAATGAGTTCAGATGCGGTTTTGGGTATTGCATCAGGGCTTGATGATCCACCAGTCTGACGACTGCTTCTGGCCCAAACTCGACGCTCACGCACAGCTTGTCTACTTGACCGCCTTAGAGGAGCAGCTGTGTCAGTCTGAAAAAGAATTTACATTTAGGCTACAGAAAAATAATTTGCAACACTCTAATATAAAAAGAGTAACATGATAAGAAAATTACATGTACATATGGTATATATAGTACCTATATACTATACTAATCCAAACAAAAAGTAATGAAAACAATATGATTTGTTACAAGAAAGCATACCTACATCATTTTATACATGTTCATAATGCAGTTGAGTGCTGGGAGATGTAACCAGAAATAAATATATTAAAAAAAATTATATTTCTGATTGATAAGAATACCACAGAAAGATTTGATGATGAGAGGATGACATAAAATCCTACAAAAATTAACAGATGTATAAAGGAAATACTAAAAAAAATTTCATCCAAATCATCAAAAGTTTTCAGCATATGAATACAAACTATGACAGAATTACTTACAGTAGCACCATCAGTCTTGGCAGAGAAACTCATTGCATTTCTTTTCAAGATTTTAGACTCCATTTTAACAGGTAGTGTATCATTTTTCCTAAAAAACCTTCTGTTAGTTTTTGGTAAAGATTCTGTAACTAAAACAGCTCCATTGGACTTGCGGGTAGATACTTTAGAAGGCACTACATCAGATCTTCTATCTGGTTTTACTGATCTTTTAACTCTACTTTGCTCTGGCAGTACCAGTATGGTTTTTTGGACAAGTTTTGTACTGCGGGTAGGCTTGTGAGCAGCAGCATTTGGACGGTCCGCCCTCATTTTTGTGACTATGGGCATGAGTAACTAGCAATCATTACAAAAATGAATTGTATGCACCTGCACAAGAATAATAAATTGTAAATTCAACTTCATATACTTATGTTTAATTGTTTATATAGGACTAAATAAATCTTTATAAATTAATAGGTACCATATTAAACTGTTGACCTTTTCATGCAAATGGCTGAAATATTAGATGCTATTTCTTTCAACTTTGGATAAAAATTAAAATCTAGGAGACCGAGAAGTTAAGATCATACGTTAATCAGGTTTAAAAAAATTTGCAGAAAAAGAAATATCTTTAGAGGTTTTCAAAATTTGATATCAATTCAACTGTGCTTATTTAGCAATTTTTGTCATCATGGTTAAAAAATATAAACTTTTCCAAATTATTTGTAACTATTTTATGTTAGCCCTATTTAAACTTTATACTATTTAACAATAATTTCAACTTTAGTATTAATTTAACATGCTAATTCAACATGCAAGTTTTTAAAAATTTTGCATTATTTTAGCTTCTTAGTTAAAAATGACTAGTAATACAAGCCTGACAATTTTTGAGCATTGACAATAGTAGGAGCCTGAAAGTTAGCTAAAAGTTGAATACAAAATTTAAATTTCATTTTAAAAAATATGAGAAGAAAATAAAAAAAATTTTTTTAGGCTTGCACTATAAATTAATATAATTTTAAAAATGTTACTATATTTAAAAAAACTATAAAAATATATAAATTTGTTATGCAAGGGCATTTGTCTCATTCATAGGTAGCTTCTGCTTGATTTTCTAATCCGATTGCATATCTATTAACTAATAGGTATAACCCACTTTCAAACTGGAGGAATAACGCTACAAATCTACCATATCAATTTTTTTATTAATATATTCAAGATCCATTCAGACTTGGAGCTTGCACAGTACTAAAATATCAAAAAAATTTCATGAATATATTCAAGATCAATTCAGTCTTGGAGCTTACACAGTGCTAAAATATCAGTTATTAAATTTTACAGAAAGAATAGTGTATTTCATTGTTTTTTACTCTAATATGCAATGCATCCTGGGCATCCAAACAATGTAGAATCTTAGGCTAAAACTTCAAAGAATTATATGTAAAAAAAGATTATTTCCCTATTGAATTCAGAAAAGCACAGGCAAAAATGTGCTTTTTTGTAACTTTAAACAAAGAAATTAGTCAAAGGCTATATTATGAGTCCTATAAAGTCAACATATCAAACTCCATCCAAGCTCACACACAAACTGGGATAATGTCTAGTTTTTCTGGGGGGCCAAAATTAATAATTATCAACAATATCAAGAAAAAATATTTTTTTCTATTTCGGTGTAAATCATAAAAAAATTGATAAAAATGTTCAATCAAAGGAAAGCAAGGAAACCTAATATCTAATTGTTCAACTTAAATTCTTAAGCAGCAAAAATTGCCACAACAAAGCCATGTGGCATAATGGATATACATATAGTCATATAGAAAAAATGCTACTAAGAGCTAACTTAGCTATAAGTACATGTACTATGTAGTATGTACATGAACGTCGGGTCAGACCGTAAGCGAACAGCCACAGCCAGGCACGGCTGAGGTTGACCCCAAATATTTTAAACAATAATCCAACCATTTCGATGATAATTTTAATATTACCAATCAAAAAGATATTTTTGATCTATTATAATATAAAATCTACGCATTAAATTAGTAAAATTTGTGGAATTTCACTGGAAAACCAACGTTTTTTGGAGAATTGTGTAACACAGCAACACTTGTGTGCACAGAAAACAAAGCGCAACCACCCAACCCGACAGTTTATCAGCAACTGATCGGTTCTTCGGAATCAAGCTTTTTTCGCAACGCGGATTAGCTGCAAGAATCCGCATTATCTCATATCCGGCTAATCAAAAGTTGATAAAAAAATTCATTTATCGCACAATTTAGTTACCAAGACCATGGTTATTTACTTCAACAGTGATAATAATTCAAGGAAAACTTTATACCTATTTTATTTTCAGTTATGAAACGGTAAACTATCCCCGTTATATTATAGGTTGCATCTCTTCCTCTCCCTCAACCTTACCCTCCTTTCCTGCCTCTAATAGGAAGTGAGTGTATGTGCGTGTATACGTATGAGCAAGTTTGTTGAAACACATGAATACGTCTTTTTTAGAAGCTAATTTCATATGAGCACATGTGTTGCTCATCACCGTTAAAATGGCTTACACTTGATTCGTTCAGGTCACCACACCCTAGATCGCAATCTAATGTTTAGAGAGTAAATAAACTGATTTGATTCGATCGTAAAATTCTTAGTGTAAAATGTAGTACGGCTTCTCTGTCTCAAAATGTTAGTATCAAAGGTGAAAATACGATTTGTACGTTGTAACAAAACCGAATTTAGAATAATATTATGCGTTTAATAATTACTTATTAAGTTATTGAAGACAACACTTCTAAAGAGGCCAGTGTCTCCAATGTTACACATGTACAATGAATGTCTTATTTTATTTTTCAATATTAAAAAAATTCTCGAATTTTTTAATAATAATTTATTTAATTTTCAAATTATTTATGCTGTCAACTGATTTAAAGCATGGTCTCCGACTTTACGCATGTGTGAAAATTTTCAGATCGATTGGACAGGTAGAAGCATGGTTGAACTATTCAACCATAGATAGAATTGTGTTATATAGATTATAAGATTTGTAGCAGACAAACAAACAAACACGAAGTGAAGTTAAAGAGAAGTGCTGTAAATGCATCCTCAGTTATTAATTCAAATCATGACACGCTTCATTCAAATCATGACACGTCCGGAAGAAATAAATGGTGCAGAATAAATAATATATTTGTACACATTTAGAATCTTCAGGAGCATAATTATCGTATTTTAAATCGTAAATAATGCTCTAATATTATACAGGGTCATCAATATTTAGCGTTACATTTTTTTCAAAATCAATTGTTGATAATTGTCCTCGATATTTGTCATTTGTTTACACCTTCTCATTAATCTTTATCATTATTTATCATCTTTATGGTGTCAAAAAACACCAACAGTCTGCTCAAGTTGTTGACAAACGCCTCCAAAGATCCAAGATTCTTCTTTCCCGCATTCATGATGGCACGCTGCCAAACCTCATTTTCAATGATGAGAAGATATTCAATGTTGAACACCACTTCAACTCCCAAAATGATCGAATTCGGTCGAAGAATGGGGACGAAGGATCCCGCGTGGTGACTAGGAAGCAATGCCCGACCTCAGTGATGGTCTGGGGCAGCCGTAACAGAGTCCTCAAGGAGTCCCCTCTTTTTTGTTGACAAAGGGGTGAAATTGAATCAGAAGAGCTATCGAGATGCCATTATTGTTGGCGCATTGTTGCCCTGGGCACGAAAGCACTTCAAAAAACGTCCCTGGTCGTTCCAGCAGGACTCTGCACCATCCCATGGGGCCAAATCGATTCAGGAGTGGCTGTCCGAGAACGTTCCCCACTTCATTACCAAAGAAGAATGGCCCCCATCGTCTCCCGATCTGAATCCCAAGGATTTTGGGATCTGGTCATACCTTGAGAGCAAGGTATCGACCGTTCACCATCACAGTTTGGACGCCCTAGAGGTCAAACTGCTGAAGGAGTGGCCCAAAATCCTGCAGAGTGTCATTCGTGACTCGTGTAAGGCTTTCTCTAAGCGTCTAAAACTCGTTATTGATGCAGATGGTGGACATATTGAATGAAATTATGGGAATTGTATCTCTGAACCTCTGCCTACATAAATACATTTTCAAACATTCACAATTGTGTTTCATTTTATAGTTCTAACCACTCAAAGTTGTAACGCTAAATATTGATGACCCTGTAGTATAGAATCTTCGGCTTTGAAGAATAGCCTTGTCGCCGATTCTTGTACTTTTCTTGACTAGTTCACAGATCTAAAAGACTGGCCTTTTGACATCATTATTTCATAAAAAATAGACCAGCATGCGGTGGAATTAACCATATTTCTTCATGCTTGCCAATTGTGCAGCTCAAAACCGATGACTCATAGTTAGACGATCAGGTAAATGTTTGAATTCCGAATAAGGTAGTAAACTACTACCAAGAAGCAGGCAAATATGAGCATAATTCACAATATTAATGAACTTTTCAAAGTCTGGTCTTGCGGCGCCGACCTGATGAGGACGCTCGTAAGTGAAGTATTCCCATCAAAGCTCATGAATATCGACGGCATTTTTTCTCTACTGAAAAATGGCTTAAGCTTGACCAATCTCTAATTCATTCATTTAATTTATAAATTCACTCTTGTATGTGCCTCTGTCACTTAAATCCCCATCAATAATATCACGGTATCTGCAGTCACTATAATACGTGAAAATTTTCATCGACGTCAAAAACAAATAAACACGACGTCAATTTTGGGCTTTAAATTTGTAAAGGAACAAAATCAAAGTTCAAATATCGCGTATCACAGATTTATTCGGCATCGTCTAGTAATCCAAGGTATTTAGCATAGTTCTGAGGGGAGGATCTAAAGATGTCCGAGGGTTCGGGGGGCTCGGCAGGGTCAGGTTGTTGGTGGGGCTCGTAGTCGACGCATCCAGGGGCACGGCGCCCCCTCAGCAGCGGCGCGTGGGGCAGGAACGAAGGACTTCTGAGGTACATGCCGCGGCCCCCTGGCGTCCATAGCCGCACCTCGCATACCGAGAACGGGGTAACCGCCAGCGATACCCAGCCTGAAAAATGAATACCTGGGTTACTGAGGGCAAGACTCGTGCCCTGTAGAGGGCAAAACTCGTGCCCTGCAGAGGGAAAATTCGTACCTGCAGATGGCAAGACTCGTACCTGCAGAGGGCAAGACTCGTGCCCTGCAGAGGGCAAGACTCGTGCCCTGCAGAGGACAATACTCGTACCTGCAGAGGGCAAGACCCGTCCCTGCCGAAGGTAAAACTTGTACCTGCAGAGGGTAAGACTCGTACCTGCAGAGGGTAAGACTCGTACCTGCAGAGGGTAAGACTCGTACCTGCAGAGGGCAAGACTCGTACCTGCAGAGGGTAAGACTCGTACCTGCAGAGGGTAAGACTCGTACCTGCAGACGACAGGACGAGGTCGGCTGATGCTATGAGCCGAGCGCCGCGTGGCAGCGGCAACAGGTTGGTCACGCCCGTCACCCTGAAGGTGTCCGAGGGCAGCAAGGGGGGCCAGAACTTGAGACGCTCCCCCCCAGGGCGCGGTGTCCCCAGAAGCTCCCTCTCGGGGTATGGCGTCCCCAGCATCTCCCCTCCGTGACGCGGCACCCCCAGCAGTTTGCCCCCCAGGTTGTCGCGGTAGAACGCGGACGCTTCCACCGTCCGTATCACGGATACCGGCAGCGCGTTCGAGCGGAACACCGTCGCCCTGCGGCACAGACGGAATCATACACTGAGAAAAATGAGCGGGTCATGTTGTCCTAATATCGACACACTTTATTACCCATAGTACGAGCAATGAGAGAGGATGTAGCACTGATACGCTCTTAACACGTTGCCTACGTATTGGTACATATGCGTACCACGAAATGTATTTCTCCAGGAGGTAGTGGTGCATAATTCAGGTTGCCTAAGATCGGCCAAATCCGAGAACAAAAAAGGCCAAAAAAGGCCGATAATTCAATGTATACTAGTTTATTTGTAGGTTCCGCTACAAAAATTCCATTTATTTTCTTTTAGCAGTATTTAAAATTTAATTAGGAAGTACCCCTATCATAAATTTTAGCCGGCCAACGCAATTGAGAAAAACTAAATCATGGAATTTGTCCGGAAAAAATGACCGTCTGGCAGCCCTGCTTAAAAAAAGTACAAAAAATGAAATAATAGTACTATATGAAGCAATCGTAGTCAACGTGTTAAGCGGGCCATATTAGACCAGGATGACCCACACAAGTGCAATGAGTGGGGAAAGTTACGGCCGTTACTCGTATATTTCAGACGTAATTATATCGGAGTCGTTGTGGTATAAATGTTTCGAAGTTCCGCGCGGCCGTTATTTCTGACCCCCCGCCGGGACCGTCACCTACCCCGCCGGGACCGACACCTACTACGTCAGCGGGGATACGGTAGCTGCAGACCGTACTGACGTAACGGTCAGCACAGTAGAATAACTTGCGAATTTTAGTGTCCTTATATGGGCAGACGTCGCGCACACATAAGCCTACAAAGGGACGCCGCGACAGCTTCGAGTTCCACAAGGGTTTGCCCTCTGATACCCTCGGCCATTACGAGGCTCCGAGCTATAAACAAACTCACGGTTTTATACCTCAACTTTGCGGTCAAGTCGCATTCTGCCTATAATTGCTGAACATTGCTCAGGCCTTCTTTAGAACTATACGTAAGCTTTGTTTAATATTAAAACAAACTTAAGTCAGAATTACCTACGCTTTATTCAATCAGAGGCCTCTAATTAATGATATATTATCATATTATAATTATATTAGAATCACATAATTATCTAGATGGTCACAGGACAAGATTAAGCATCGTAATTATTGACATATTATTATGACATTATAATTATAAGCATATTGATACTCACAGGACGTAATCAGAAGGCTTAAGTCGCCTGCTGCGGGGCACTGGGTGGTGCACGTAGAGGATGTCGAGGCGGGCGAGGCCCCCCAGCAGGAGGGAGGTGCCCCTCCTCACCCTGAACGTCTGGGGGACGATGGGGGACTGGGGGAGGGCCTCCTGTAGCTCCTCGTGTGTTAGCAGACTCACCAGCTGACGAAGGGATGAGAGAGTTAGCTTATGCATATCAATAACAATATTAAAGTGTTAATAGAGTATTAATACTATTAATACTCTATTATATATTGACAGATACTCTATTATAATATAAATATTATTAATCTTCGTTTGCGAGAAAAATAATCTATAATAAGACTTATGACAAGAAATTTTTGGACTTGTTAACCGAACTATTGTGCTGCGTGTTATCAGATAGCTCGAGAAACTGAACTCTTAACAAATTTTCAGTTAAAATGACATTTTTGTCTTGCCGAACGTATTTATAACACTAGACAAGTCGCTATACTACAATATAACTTTCATATACAAGGTACAGGTAGTTATTAGTTTGCGTGTGAAGTAAAATGCGGATATTTATATAATTATTACGGGAATAAGACTATAGGTGGATGGGACTATGAATATTTAAAGTAATTGTACAGGAATTTCGACATCAATATTTTTCACTGTTATCAGCAATGTTCACGATTGATGTCACCGGTGTTCGCGACTGTTATCACCGGTGTTCACGACTTATCACCGGTGTTCACGACTGTTATCACCGGTTTTCACGACTGTTATCACCGGTGTTCACGATCATTATCACTGGTGTTCCCGATTGTTATCACAGACATTGTTATCACCTGGTCAGGCTGGACCACACCGGGCGTGTCGTGGACCCACTTCTTGCTGCGGTAGCGTGGGTTGTTATCACTGATGCCCTTGGTGGGCGCGGGGCCCGGAGCGCCAGGGCTCTCCTTGAACACGTCAGGCATGAGGCTCTCTTGGGGCGCCGCGTTGCGTACGAACGTCCTGCCCACCGCTCCTGGTGAGGGAGGAGGAGGGTGTTAGGATAATTGTGTTATTAATTTATACATCAGAATTATTGTACGCTACACTGCCACACAGCACAATCATTGTGCACATCACTGCAACACAGCACAATCATTGTGCACATCACTGCAACACAGCACAATCATTGTGCACACCACTGCAACACAGCACAATCATAGTGCACATCACTTATGACCTTATGATGAGTTTGGGACTTCCTAGTCCCCGGTCACGCTGATGCGCCGCCTTCGTCGTCGTCCTCCGTCTCCGAGTCGTCGTCGGATGTAACGTTGGGCGTGTTCAGTCTATTTGCCCTCCTTTGGGCCAGCTGATGCAAGATGCTGTTGCCTGTCACTTGCTGATGGTAGTTTCCCATTACTGGATAATCCGGGATCTTTCTCAGCCACTTGTCCAGTCGTCTCTTGAATGTTGCAAGGGTAAACTCCCCTCCTCTCAGCGCTTTTGGCAAGGCATTAAAGAGCCTCGGTCCTACCACGGAC